TTCCAGTCAGGCTTTCTGAGGAGGGAAGGAACTCTCCTGAGAGGCTGACCAAAGGGATGTTTGAGCATTTGCTCCAGAGCAGTGCCAGTCTCCAGCTATCTCTGGACAGCTATAGGGGACAAATATCAGTCCATGCCCCGTCTCACAAGTTGTTCAATGAGGAATTCCACCTGATTCCTCAAGAGAAAAGGAGCCGGAGGGCACTCAAGGCTCTCACAGTGTTCACTGATGCCTCTGGGGCTTCCCACAAGTCGGTGATGACTTGGAGAAATCCACAGACTCAGCATTGGGAAGCTGATATTGAGCTTGTGGAGGGATCCCCCCAGGTGGCTGAACTGGCTGCAGTGGTGAGAGCTTTTGAGAGGTTTTCCGAGCCGTTCAACTTGGTGACAGACTCTGCCTATGTGGCAGGTATAGTGTCCAGGGCGGAGCAGGCTGTGCTCAGAGAAATAGAAAATGAACATCTCTTCAGGTTACTCTCAAGGCTAATTTATTTAATCTCGCACCGAGAACATCCATTCTTTGTGATGCATGTGAGGTCACACACTGATTTGCCAGGTGAGATTGCAGAGGGGAACCGAAAAGCAGACTCCTTCGCTGCACCAGTTGAAAAGGCAAGTCTCCCTGATGTTTTCCAACAGACAAAGCTGAGTCACGAGCATTACCACCAGAACGTGCCAGGTTTGATTCGACAGTTCCAGCTAACACGGAGTCAGGCCCGAGCCATTGTGACCAACTGTCCTAATTGTCAGCTCCAGGCGGTGCCATCGCTGGGCATGGGAGTAAACCCCAGAGGCCTTAGCAGCTGTGAGGTATGGCAGACAGACATCACACACATTCAGAGCTTTGGTCGCCTTGAATGCGTTCATGTAAGCGTGGACACATTCTCAGGTGCAGTGTATGCCTCTGCCCATATAGGACAAAAGGCTGCACATGTCAAACAACACCTAGTACAAGCATTTTCAGTATTGGGGGTGCCAAAAATGATCAAAACAGATAATAGCCCAGCGTATGTATCCAAGGAGTTCCTGGAATTTCTCCAGCAGTGGGGAGTGGAACATAAGACTGGCATTGCCCACTCCCCCACAGGTCAAGCTGTAGTCGAGCGTGCACACCAGACGCTCAAGCAGGTATTGAAAAAACAAAACAGCTCAGCTCCGTGGATGTCTCTACGAGAGAAGCTCTGTAAAGCCATGTTTACTATCAATTTTCTGAATTGTTCATTCGAAAATATGAGTCCACCGGTTGTACGTCACTTTAACAGTGGCAAGCAGTTTAAATTGTCTCAGCATCCACCGGTCTTGATTAGGGATCCAGAAACTTGGGAAACCAAGGGTCCCTATGAACTTGTGACCTGGGGTCGTGGCTATGCGTGTGTAGCTACTCCCTCAGGCCCTTGGTGGATTCCCCAGAAGTGGGTGAAACCTTTTGTCCCCAAGAATCCAGGTCAAGCAGAAGGGGACAAGAAGCAAGTATCTGATGCTTCAAAGAGAAGACGCCGCCGGATGGGAGAAGAAGAAAGTTCCTAGGCAGGAATTCCTTCCGGCAGAAATAGAAGCTTTAACATGTTCTTAAAATGTTTGTTCTTCCCTTTTAGAGAAAACCTACCTCCCACTCAACCCGGTGATGAACCCCATGCAAGTTGTCATCCAGCAAATGCTGAAGAGAATGTTCAAGGGATGGGGATTCACGGGGTGGTGGACATCTGTAGTTAGATCAATTTTGTTAGTCTTTGTTATTCTGTTCTTTGTAACCCTAGCGTTCGGGATCCTGCGTCACTTGATTTTCAAAGCTATCAAGGGTCTCATACCTTCTGCCTCAGAGGTCAACCACATAGAGTTGGCTAACCTGAGGAGGCCTGACCACGCCACCAACATGGGGTGGTGGGAAACCCATACTCGGGGTTGAATTGAGCCCAGTGAATTCCTGTAACCTTGTTTAACAAATAAGGGGGAGGTGTTACAGTGAGCTCCTGGACACCCTTTTGTCCCCCCTTTCCTAGGGCCTCTGTGGCTCTGATCATGATAACCCCTGAATCCTCCCTCCTGCCCCAATGGGGTTGGCGGGGAGCCAGGAGTGCCCACCCTGTCCAAAACCTATATAGACCCCTGAAACTTCCTGCTCTTCCTCTTTTGCCCCGCTCTCCATGGACACCACAGAATAAAGAGAGCTGTTCCAACACCCTGGGGTAAGGAGCCTCTTCTGTATACCTTTCCCTCTCCTGCTATTTCCTCCCCTCACAGCCCCATATCTCTGAGCTAGTCGGATTCATTTGGGGGGCTGCGTGGAGGGGGGGAAAACCAATAGAAATAACACGTCTGGATCACGCTGGCGAAGTCTTGCAGCAAGACAATCTCTGCCATCATGGGCAATGTGGACAATCCGTTGTCCACATGCCTGGTGGGGGTTCCCTTGTAGCCGATGATGAGCCTGTCTCTAACTCTGACCTACTCCGAACCACAGGTAAGAGACCTAACCTGGTCGATGCCTTGGATGAGTGGACCCAAATCCTGCCAAATAGTAAAGAGGAACCCCAGGCATTGGACCTGCTGGGGTCCTCCACAGCCACTTATTGTGATAAATTTTATTTCAGGAGGCCAAGTCAAAATTGGCATGGAATTGACTTGGCCAAGGATACATACAGAAAGGATGTGTCACCACTTAACAAAAAATGTAACAATCAGACTTGGTGCAGTTACACCAGCCAGGTCGTTTCAGTCTCGTCCATTCATCCTAGGATGTTGCCCAGGGGGATGTTTCTTATCTGTGGGGACAGAGTATGGTCGGGAATCCCCTCTCGACTCCAGGGGGGCCCATGCAGCCTTGGCAAGCTTGCTACCCTTACTCTGAATAAAACACCAATTCTGGATTGGAAGAAAGAGAGACAATTGGCTCGTGCAAAAAGATCCTATGCTCAATTCGATGCAAATTGCAATTCCGAAATTTACAATTGGGGTAAGACAAAGAGGGTCACTGCCATCATCTTTCTCCCATGGTATGCAGCTGCTAAGGCCCTTGGTGAGCTTTCTCACCTGGAGTGCTGGATTATCAAGCATGCCGCCTCATCCACCACTCTTTCTGATCCATTGGCGGATGAGCAGACCACTAGGCACGCCACCTTGCAAAATAGAGTGGCGATCAATTTCCTGCTGCGCGCCCATGGCCACAGCTGCAAGGACTTCAAGGGGTTGTGCTGTTTCAACCTGTCATCAAGAAGCACCTCCATTCAAACCAACATCCAGCGGATCCAGAGAGAAGTGAAAGACATCAAAACAGAAACTTTAGCTGTGGACCCCGTAAATAGACTGTTCTCGTAGTGGGGTGTCTCCGGGTGGGCAGCCTCCATTCTAAAGGGACTCTCATGGATTTTTCTAATTATCATTATCATTTTAGTTGCACCTGCCCTCTTCAAAAGGATTCTAGTTAAAACTCTGGGAGATGTTTATTTAGTAAATAAAAACGGGGGAGATGTGGGAGGGTGTCGGAACTCAAAATGTCCCTCAGACATTTTTAGAGGTTCCAGGCCTTGGTCAGAAGCATTTTAGACCCTGGCAAGCAGCTGAGAACAGCTGTGATTTTGAGTTTGAACCATGGAATGAATTACCAACTTTAAAGGTGGAACAAGCAGTCACAGAGGGTTAGATGATATAGTAAAAGTAGTCACAAATTAGAGGGTAAAATTTTTTAGTATTGTACAGGGGGGTTTTAACACCTGTACAGGGGGGTTTTACTTTGTACAGGGGGGTCAGGAGTTCTAAGATGGAGGAAAGTGGGCCTGAACCTGTTCTTCCTCCTTCTTCTCCCTTACCTCCATGTTCTTGTTGATGTTGGCATTTTTCTATTGGTTTAGGCTAGGGACACACTATTCAACGTAGATGATAGATATTGGCACATTATTGTAAATATAGTACACGTAATTTCTGGTATATAATGTTTGTACCATCCCACTGAGGGGCAGAGCCCCACACACTGCCCTGCAGGACAGACCTGCGGCAGGGCAGCAGAACTTGTTATAGATAAGCAAAAATAAACAACCTTGAAATCAGCACAGAAGAACTATGGCTTCTTCTTTGGCAACGGGGCAGAAAGACAGAGACTTTCTACAATCTCGGAATCACCAATACCCACAGATTCCGACAGGAGGGGGTCCCGGGGGTAGTCCACCTGGGATGCCCTAGGAGACCACTTCTGTGTAATTTTCCTTCCTCCCCCAATGCCAATCATTTATCCCTGTTCATGTCCATCATCGTTTGAGCTATCCCTTTGTTCTGGAATGTTCCTTGTTTTTTATGCCTTCATTGGTTCCCTATTGTTAGCCACCCCTTCCCCCCTGTTCCCATCGGTTCTCACCCTGTCAGTCATCCCTACTCCTCCCCTGTATCTGTCCATTATTTGCTGATTTGTACCCCGACCTTCTGATCCCGTTTCTGTTCTATACCTTACCCTGCCCTCGGGACCGCACGCTCAGAGCCCGCTCCCTTCCGGAGAGCTTGTCTCCCTGTACCTCTGACTTCGCTTTTCCCTCAATAAAACCCTCTGGAAAGCACAGCAGCCTGAGCATCATCCTGCCTCGGTGGAAGCTTCTCTGTATCTATCCGGCTCTGGTAGACCGTACCCTCCGTGGTGTTCCCGGTGGGACACGGTTCCCAGACGCCACACTCTCCCTTACAAAAAATCTCTTCCGCTAACATAGACTGCTCTGACAGGTTCAGGCAAGTGCACCAAAAGTGCACTAGAATATGGTCTCCTGTAGGAGATGGACCAGCTGCTGGTGAGGATCTGCCTTTCAAATGTAGTTTTCTGAGGGTTTTTTTTGTTTTGTTTTTTTGTTTGTTTTGGGATTGTTTGTTTGGTTTGGTTTGATTTGTTTTTCAGGTTTCTGGAGAACAAGGTGATAAATAAAATTATTTCCTTACTCCATACTCTATGGCTAATAAATTTAGGAGACGAGAGAAAACAAGAATCAAGCCCAGGAGAACAGGAAACTTCTTTCTATTCAACTTGTAAATGAATTTCTGTGTGTTTTGGTCACATTAACCAAACATATTCGGTAAGTCCTTTGTTTTGTTTTTTGTTTTAGTTGGTTTGCATTTCATCCTCTGTCCAGTTTGAACATTATTAAGGCTAGGAGGCTTTCTTTATCTCTGCTAGATGGATGGCTTTTTTCACCTTTAATTTGTGTGTTGAGTAGTGAATTTGGATGGGATTTCTTTGACAGGAGGATTTAGGTATCTGAATACATGGGGAATAAAGTAAAATGTCATGCACAGTTGCTGTCAAGTCCTTTGTCCCTAATTCCTGGCCATTCTGACAGTAGGGATTAAGAGCTGTAGTGATGGATTTGCATGCATGGCACTTGTGTTTTCCTTTACCAGGACTAATGGAGATCTGGCCAAGCTGAGTGAGTTGTTCAGCACCCTCAGCTCTGTGCTGGAATACCGTGCTGTTGTTGTGGAGGCTTTTAGGGAGAGGAGGTGTTTCACAGTCAACGACAGCATCCTCTCCAGCAGGGAGCTGCTGCTGCTGCTGCTGCTGCTGCACAAGTGGAGCCTTATCAGCCAAGACCTGCAGCTGCAGGAGGACCTGCAGGCCCTGGCTCAGAAGGACCGAAAGAAAGAATTGCTCAGTAAGTGCTGAAATACTTCAAGGAAGGTGTATTTTGTTGTAGCTGTGTTGCTTTTATGAAAGACAACCAGAGACTTGGTTCAGGAACAGCACGGCAGCCTGCTCTCGCCCAGGCTGCTCGGGCTAATCAACAGGCGCAGACACCAATATGGCAGACGGTTGAAAAGCGTTTATTATCCTATCTCGTGGGTTTAAATAGCTTTTAGGGGTCTTTGCTACGTCAGAGGGGGGCTGGGGGTCTCAGGGATAGTGGGTAATGGAATTTTACTTGGGCCGGTGTGGCTGCATTCCTTTGAGGCTTCTGGAGTTGATAGATAAGTGGGGAAGAGAGGCAGAGAGGGGGATGGGTCCATCTTTCCGTCACACCCCGAAATCTTCCGTTCGCCTGTCCCTTACCTACCACATCTCCCCCCTCCTTATCACATACAAAATGAGGTAGTTGTAGGTAGAGGTACTGGAGTGAGGTACAGACTTGTAACTTGTTAAGGAAAGGGTGGTTTAGTAGATCTGGGTAGATTTTTTAAGGCAGGTGCTGAAGGCTTTAGCTACTGACTGTGTTTGCAGTTTTTGGTTTACAGCATTTGTTGGTGGCCTATGAACAGAATGTTTGCCCTTTCCAGACGGGCTTGAACAAACGAGACTAGTTTGTTCAGCAGGCATGGTCTTATGGTAATAGCCAAAAGCAGTATTGCCAGTGGACCTACTAGGGCAGAAATTAAAGTGGTGAGCCAAGGTGATTGATTGAACCAGGATTCAAACCAGCTCTGCTGGGTCTCCCTGTCTCTCTTTCTCTGAGCCAGTCTGTCTCGGAGTTCTGCTATGGAGTCTTTAACGACTCTTGTATGATCTGCATAAAAGCAGCATTCCTCCTTCAACGCTGCACACAATCTCCCCTGCTGCATCTTCTGCAGGTCTTCGTTGATGGTCATTTGCAGCTGAGAGAGTCTGTGTTGCTGGGTTGCGATGGCTGAGACGCCCGTGGCGGTGCCAGCTGCTCTCAAGCTGAGCAGCATTGCGATAGTTATACCTGTGATGATTTCTTTTTTGTGGAGTCTGTTAGGTTCTTCGAGAAGATGGTATATCTCTTTGTCTGAGTGGTATAAGACCCTGGGGACAATCAGAACTTGGACACAGAAATCAGTAGAGTCATTGAATTTGTCAAGGAACACACAAGGACTCACTCCGGACCTTTGGCAGACTCACATCCCAGATGCAGATGGGATCACCCACTTGCTAGTTTTTTTGTTAGGTTTGACAACTTTAGTGCAGAAGTTGCCTTTCTGCTTTGCTAAAGTTGCATTTCCAAAACATCTGCCCTGTCCTGTGATTTGACTCAGGGTGATTCCTCTGCGGGGAGTGTCCCATCTGCACTGGTGGGGGGCGCTGGCCGAGGAGTAACTGAAGGGGGTGTCCAAAGCAATGCCTTCATAAAAAGGGGGTTTGATATCATAGCAAAGCCAACAGGAGTTAGTTAGGTTCGGTTTGGTTTCGTTTAGGGTTAAAAAGGTAGCTTCTAGCATACGAAAGATTGGGTTTGGGTCTGACTCAGCCATGCGGCCTATCTGGGGGTATCTGCAAGGCTGGTCGGGGTGTCAGTGGCTTTTGGGGTCAGGGTTTTGAGGTGGGTTGTGTTTTTCCCTCTCAGCACATTCCTGATAATTTTGTTGGGTCCCACTGGTCGAGGCGTTGGCGGCTGGAGCCTGATAATTCTCACATTCACCCACCTCCTCGGTCCTTTGAGGACCACCGTCCATGTTCTACCTGTGGCCCAGCTAGGGTGATCTGGCTGTAGGACAGTCATGTTATAACTTACGCATGCCCGTTGTCTAGGCTGTGCAGTGTGGTCTCCACAGCCAAAGGGTGCCCAGGTGAACTGTAAGAATTTGTCGGGCTCCTGTGGTTGCCACCCGTCTGCCCATGGTCTGGCATCTGTAACAATGGTTTCGCAACCCCAATACCCACAATGTCCCCACCCCGGGTAGTCACAGTACCTTTTCCCCAGTTTGGACGCTGGGCACCAATAGGATATGTACATGAGTATGATGTGTGGGCTTGAGGGCCGTATTTTCGGTTGCCCTGGAAACAGATCGGCTATGTGGAATACGAAGGATGGAGCGTTTGCGGTGGTGACTTCTTTGAACACCTTGTCACTTGAGAGATGCTGCATGACCCATCTGAACGGCTGGTGAGGGTAGTGGCCTGGGTTGGCTTGCTCCCCGGCCACAAACCCCATCAGCAGGATTGCACAGAGACACTGTACATGTCTGGGTCTCACCGCCGTGGGACGCTCAGGCTCTGTCTGGTGGCTTGGTGGTCTGTTATTTCTCTCTGGAGCAGGGGTGTGTGTGTCGCAGGGACGGTCCACAAGCATGTCTTGCAAACAGAACTTATAGCTTCTCATTAGTTTTGTTTTGAGGGTCAGGTTCGGTTGGTAGCAGTGGTGTGTAGCAGTGGCTCTCATAGTCTCACTACGTGGGGGTTCTGACTGCCACAGAGGCAGCACGTCCCCTACATCCCCGGGGGCTTTCTCCCCATTTTCATGGCTAGGGCTACCCCGGGGTTCCGTATCAGGGCGTCTCCTGCTGACTCTGCGGCACGGGCGCCGGTTGCAGTGGGAGGAGGCTGGGTTCGCCCGCGCGCGCCCCCCACCCCCCCCCGTGTGTCCGGGGCTGGGACCCGTATTCCTTGGCGAGACGCCCTTTTTTTTTTGCAGTTCTAAGGGGTATTGTGACCGCTTTTCAGTGCGGCTTAGAACTCTATTTGGTTTTGTTTTAAACTGTGCTGGTTCTATATCTTTTGTTTCGGAGTTCCGGCTGGCCCCCGCCGGCTCGGAGGAGTCGGTAGGGCTGTTGCCAGGCTCCGTGGTGGAAGTCAAATGCCAGCGCACTTCCGGGGCTCCGCGCAGTTTTGTTTGGCCCCGGGCTCGCTCCTCCCCGCGGGGGTGGCACCGCTCCCGCCCCCCCGGCTCGCCGCGCCCCCCGCGGGGGGTGGTTTTTGCCTTATATGGTGGCGGCTCCCGGCGCGGCCGCTGATTGGCTCTGTGCCCCGAGCCGCTCTCCGCCCCTTTCTCCCGTGCGCGCGCGCCCCTGAAATCGCGCGGTGTCCGAGTTTTCGCGCCGAGATTACCCGGGCCCCGCCCCCCTCCGCGGCATTCGGCGCCATTTTTAAAGCGACCGCATGGCTGGGCGGCTGGGGACTCCCCCCGAGCCGCGGCCCCTGCGACTCCGGTCTCTCCCGCCGGCTCTCGCCAAAAGCGCCCCGCGCGCGGCTGCGCTTCCGACAGCGGACTTTTGACCGGCGGCGGCGGCGGGACGTATCGGCAAGCCGCGGTTTTTCGGGGCTTTTTTGCGGCGGGGGTTTCCCGGGGGTTTTCCGCGGCGGGGGTGTCCCGGGGGGCTTCTGCGGCGGGGTTCGGCGCTGCTCCGCTCGGCGCGCCGGCGGGGAAGCGGCGCGGAGCCGCGGGCAGGTCCGGGTTCTGGCGGGAGCGGAGCCGCGCCGCTCGAAACGCGCCGCCCTGGGCTCCGGCGGCAGCGCTCCCCCGTGCCGGGCTGGGCTCCGCTCCGCGGCGGGGCCGGGCTGGGCTGGTCTCCGCTCCTGGGTGGACCCTCCTCAGGGACGGTCCGCGCTTTCGCCCTCGTCCCGAGCTCGGGTTTAACTAATAAACACGTACGCGCTGTACTCTGCGTCTCTTGTTTTTCTATTGCCCTGCGCGGGGTCTTTTCTACCTTGCCCCGTGCCGTAACGCTTTCGCCTGAGGATTCTGCCTCCCCGGCTAGCGGGGCTGTACACTGTTCCCATATCCCCGGATGCATGGCATCCACTGAGCATTCGGTCGCTCTAAGCTCAGGCAGCCTTGCTATAGCAAGATAAAAGTCCCTGAGCTTAAACTTGATACTCCATTGCTTCATACTCACGGCCCATGCGACGCTGTCCATGACGCTCGCGGGCCCCGGGGACGTCTCCCCTCCGCCTGGGTACGGTCTGACCGTCTCGGCCGCTGCTTCTGTCCAGGTGTTTCCCGTCCGCCGGGCAAATTTTTCCCTTTTTTTTTTTTTTCTTCTTTTCTCCCGGGTTTCGGCACCAGATATGTTGCTTTTATGAAAGACAACCAGAGACTTGATTCAGGAACAGCACGGCAGCCTGCTCTCGCCCAGGCTGCTCGGGCTAATCAACAGGCGCAGACACCAATATGGCAGACGGTTGAAAAGCGTTTATTATCCTATCTCGTGGGTTTAAATAGCTTTTAGGGGTCTTTGCTACGTCAGAGGGGGGCTGGGGGTCTCAGGGATAGTGGGTAATGGAATTTTACTTGGGCCAGTGTGGCTGCATTCCTTTGAGGCTTCTGGAGTTGATAGATAAGTGGGGAAGAGAGGCAGAGAGGGGGATGGGTCCATCTTTCCGTCACACCCCGAAATCTTCCGTTCGCCTGTCCCTTACCTACCACAAGCTGTTGCAGGCCAGCAGTTCAAATGAGGCAAACTTTTCTGGAAGTAGTACTAATACCTTCTGTCAGACTGATGGACCTTGAGGGAGGAGGAAAGGAAATGGAAAGGCATTATTCAGATCTTCCTTGTGGTGATTTTGAACCTTAACACAATTTGGAAGCTTTGGAGAAACACAGTTTATGAAGGGAAAGATCTTTCAAATGAAACTTAGTGGCAAATCTTGAGTCAGGCTTTGAAAAAGGGTATTTTTAATGAATCTTAAGAGAAGAAGCAGTGCCTGGAGGCTTTGTGCTCAAAGCTGTGAATGGGGATCTGAAAGAGATGTTAAGTAAAAACAATAAATAAGTAAAGCAAGCAAAAGTTAATAGTTGGTGTCTCTTGTTGTCACCAGTTTTAAAGAAAGGAAAAAAACCCAGGACTTGTGTGACTTCTCTTGTTCTCTTTGTTAACAAAAAGTGCAAGGAACCTGGGAGTGGGAGGTCTTAAAAAAGTGGTGGTTTCCTGCAGCAGCAGCTGCTTTTGGTACACATTAAAGCTTCTATAGGTTTGTTTAAATGTTCTGCATCAGTTAAGAAAGTGTCATGTATTTAGGGATTCTGTAAAAGCTTTAGCTTTTCTACAGTTTTTTCACCCTTTAAAACTCCTCAGAAAGATGTGAAGAGGGTTTGTGGAGTGATGCCTGTAACTTAGTGCATGTGTGGGTTGTGTTGCTCCAGGCTTCAGGAGTTTCTCTCGTCCCCAGGCTGGGCGGTCCAGTTTGGAACAGGGTTCCAGCCTGGTGTCCCTGGGAGCTCCCGGAGCCCCTTTGAACAGGGCAGGCTCCATGAGGCTGCTAAACAAGGCTGGAACTTGCCATTTTAACAACTGAATCTACACAGGAGAGCACCTTGCTTGCACAATTTTGTTCTAGGAAAATCCTTTGGAGTATCTGATGTTTGTTTTGATGGTGGTTATCTTATTACAGAAAATATTAAAGACAAGAACAAACCTCAAGCCTCATCTTGTGTGTATCGTCACACTCAGAAAAAGAATGGGATGGAAGAAGATGACACTGCTGCAGACATGAAAGTGTCTGAGCTGGAGAAATGCAGAGAACATCTGAATTCCATACTTGCCCACTGGGACCCTGTTTTCCCAGCACCACCCTCCACACAGGGAGGGGAGACCCTCAGAGCCGGTGAATGGGGGGGTGAGGCAGTGGCTGTAACCTGTGCATCCATTCACGTTGTCACTAAGTGGCTGGTGAGGTCCCTGGCTGGGCAGAGTTCCCTGAGGGAGCAGGACGTGTCACCAGTGCTGAGGTGGCTGCGGAACCGTGTCCTACCACACCCGGCGGCTGTGCGGGAGATGCTCAGGGATGAGGCACTGAGGAACGGCCTCTTCAAGCTTTACACCCGGCTATGCCAGGCGAGCAGCACCTCAGCTGGGCTCTCCAGGCAGCTCGGTGGGCTCAGTTCCATCATGCTGCAGCTGATGGAGGAGCAGGGCCTGTCTAGCACCTTCCACGAGCTTGTGAAATCTCTTTGTCCTTTTGCAAAGGCAAAATAGTTCTCTGTCTGTCCTGTATTTGTTAAAGTTGCTGCTATATTCCATTCTTCTCTCTCTCGCTGCATGGTTTCTGTGCTAAGCTGTGGTGGGGTACTGCTTGTGCGGGAAGCAGGAGCTGCTGTTAGCTGAGGCAGAAGAGTAGGAGGGGTGGAGCTTGTCGGCAGAGGCACCTGGGAAGAGCCTGCATCTGCGGAAGGATATGTCGAAGCTTTGGCTGCAGCTGTAGAATGTAAATCCGGCAGAGGAAGGGACGCAGAGGGATATGCATAGGATGACGTGGATTCATGTTGTGGTGTTGCGAGCAGAGTCGTTGTGGGGTGGAGGGTGCAGTCGTGCAGGGGCTGCTGGTAGCTATAAGTCTGGAGTTTCCAGAAGCTGCGAGGGAGGCGGAGTAGGGAGGACTATTTGTGATGAGGCTGTAACAGGATCCGGCGGTGCGAATGGATATGGTGGTAGAGTCGGATATAAGGAAGTGCTGGCGGCGGGGTTTGCTGGGGCTGTGCAGCCAGGACTGTGGGCTGTGGCGCTGTCATGGGGGAGCACGGGGACGTCGGCTGGGCGTAGACTGCGGCATGGGGCACGTGGGAAGCGAGAGGCTGCATCAGGGGCGCGGCGGGGGTGGCGTGGGGCATTTGGTCCGCGGGGAGCGCGAACTGCGCATGTGCGGGGCGCGTGACGGGGTCAGCATGCCGACCCAACATGGCGGCCGCGTCCAACACGCGGCCAGAAGGGTCGGGCACGGAGGGCGCAGGGGAAACTGGGTCCGCGGCCACCGGGGGGAGACGGCACGGGTCCACGAGCTGGGGGGCTGGCAGGGGCACGGCGCGGGGTCCTAGAGCGTCTTCCCGTGGCTGGGGGGGATTGAGAAGAGGCAGGGCGCCTGCGGCGGCGAGACCGTGCAGCGCCTGGAGGATGGCAGCTGTTGTTTGGCTTTGCGCCTGCAAAATAGCCGTTGTCTGGCTTTGGAAAAGGTCGACTATGGTGGCCACCATAGCCAGGACAGACGCCGCTGAGGGGGTGGGGGGGGGCCGCCGAGCAGCTCGGGGGGGGAAGAGGTGGCCGCAAGGGCGGGTTCCAAGCGGCGCGGGGGGGAAGGTGTGGCCGCGGCAGGGAGGGGTTCCGAGCGGCACGGGGGGGGAGGCGTGGCTGCGGCAGGGAGGGGTTTGGGGGCTATCGGCGGCTTCAGAGAAGCACACAGTTCGGCCAAAGTTCTATACGCAGGAAGCAATTCGCAAGCATCGGGATCGTGGCTTGAAATATCATTAAAAAGTCTATTTCCAACTGAGTCCCAAAAGTCTCTAGTAAACACAGCTGAATGATCAGCATTCGGGAAATTAAGTAAGATCCATTCTAAAAGGTTTTTTAACTCTTTCTTAGACAAAGTACTGTTATGGCTACATAAAAGGTGGTTAAGTTGCTTATAGAGATCTCGATCAGGGGCAGAGTGGGATTGTCCCATTTTTAAACCAGTGTGGGTCACCTCGATGTCGCAGAAGTAGGTCCCTCTGTCAGGTTCCGACGTACACTCCAGTCGGTGCTCAGGACCCTCCGGGGGTCTCCTCAGAGCTCCGGTTTCGGTGCTCGGGAGCTCCAGAGCCCCCCTCAGAGCTCCAGCGCGGGCAGTGCAAAGCAGTGCTCACCTGTGCTCTCTGCACGTGGCAGCATGCCACGGCAAGGCTCCTCATAGAGCTTCAGGTCGCCGCCGATCTGCAGCAGTCGCCTGTGCTCCAGAATCTAACAAGCACAAATCCTCCAATGGCTCCAAAGACTCGCTACTTCGTAACGAGTCGCGGTGCTCAAGGATTGCCTCGGCAATTTTTAAAGAGCTCCGGCTTCGACGCTGCCTAGCAATGAAATGCCGTGCTCACAACACCGATGAGGAGGGAACACCTGGTTATTTAGTTACTGTCCATGGAGAAGTGTCCTACAGGTAGAAAAGCTGGAGAGGCATCCAGACAGGTGTGGGTGCAGGTCAGCGTGGGTTCGTATTCCTAATTGGGCGCCAGTCTGTAAAGACGTAGGAGGGCTCCAGGACGGTTTGGGTGGATACAGACGAGAGATCTCTGTTGGTTGCTCTTGGAAGATAGGGTTTATTCAAGTTTGTAAGAGGTCCTGCCTCGAGCTGCTAGACACAGCACGTGGCAGGGCTGGAGGTGATGGGGGAGGGGAGAGACAAAGGGAAGAGCAGGGACTCCAAGAGGGGGGGATCCAGGAGGAAGGAGGAAGTTCCAAGAGAGCATCTGGCCCCTCAGAGACCCCTTATCAGGGGGCTTCAAGGTGGGCTGGAACAAGACTTGGGCCAATGGGGTCACAGACACTTGATGTTTCAGGGGAGGGTTACAGGTGTGGGGTGAACCATACATTCTGGGGGGTGAGATGGAACAGTCCATTTGACTTTTGGACCCCTCTGTAGGTAAGGTTATTGTCCAGCCAGTAGGGGGCGTTATATTCATCCTGGCTGTACTATTGTGGTTCTTCTGCTAGGCAATCATATTTATCTATCCTTCCCAACAGTACCATATAAAAGATAGCACCAGCCCTGGGCGAGGGGGATAAGAAGAAGACGGGAGACAGAGAGGATGTCAGGGTGTATGTGTGCCTCTGCCTGAGCTGCTGAGCAAATCACAGCAGCCCGAGAAGAAAATCTTTTAGATAACATGCAATAAACTACCTGGAGACCGGACGACTGAAGACTACTGAGCTTTTCTTTGAAAGCACGGGTTGGAGGAGGGACTATTCCACCATACGGAGCCACCCCCGACCTAGGGGTGAGCTCTGGCATGGTGGGAGAAACTAGGAAATTCCATGGCTTTTTAAATCCATTAAATCAGCTCTCCCATATCCACCCAGGCTCGTGGCTTCCTAAAGCAGAAGCTGTGTCTTTGGCAGGATGGGGGCAGGGGTGGGCAGCACAGAGCGTGGTCATGCTGTGAGGTTTTCTGACACTACAACACTCCCATTCCCTCTAAGAAACTTCCCTTTCAGGGACTAAAATGGAATAAAAGGTGTAAAATAAATATAAATCCAAGAGGGGGAATAGTCTGCAAAAAAACCCAGCTCCACATGGGCCTGGATGCTGATCCCTATTACTGGTCAGTGAGAGCATCTGACAGGTCAGATTTCCAACTGCTTTATTTAACAGGAGACTGGTTTGTTCCTTCTTGTGAGTAGGATCATTGGCTTTGCATTGGCAAAGCCACTCCAGATTTTCCAGCTAGGAAAAGAGAGGGAACTCTTAAAGCATAGTCCTGGAGGTACCAAGCAGCTTGGCTTGGTAATCCTGTGGGGAAATAGAAGCATATCTGTTCTGATTTTTCTCTCCTCTTTCTTCCGCAGCTGTTTCTGTATTCCTGACTTCCATTTACATTGGAGACATGTGGCTTGGAGCACAGGAGCCGGATATGTTACTTACCTATGTCAGATTGGTCTGCACTAGTGCAGATTATGAGTTACAGGGTGACTCAGAGACTCAGAAACAAGGGGAAGAACTGTTATGTCTCTTTGCAAAAAAATTGGCTCCATCAGGGCATTAATTCAGGGGACTAACACTTCACCTTTAATGTTTTTCTGTGCTCCATCCTCATCACCATGAGCTGTGAGAGCCTCCTGAGCTGTTCTCATATAGACCTACCTTGTTTGGTAAAAAATTTCAGTATTTTATTATTGGGTGCAAACTCGGGGGAAGTTTTGATTCAATATCTCTCAGTGGGACATTAAAGCTCCAATTTCCCTTTTGCTGAACAGTTTGAGAGACAATATGTAATTTTTATTACAGGCATTTTTATCTTTTTGAAGAACCAAAAAGACTGTTTGTGCATGTGTCTCAGCAGCAGCCCCAGCACAGGCAGGCAGGTTTGGAATTTTCTTTGCTATGCTGCAGGCGTATTCAAGACATTGTTCCTCTTTGTTTGACAGAAGGAAGACAAAAAAATAATTCTTACCAAAAGAGGATGTTTTCTTTCCTGTCTATCAAGCAGCCAAATACCACCAGCTAGCTATACATATATTAAAATCAGCTGGGGAACATGCATCCCAGGGACCTGGGGACTGTCTGAAGAGAGCTCTGGCCAGCTCTGTTAGCTGTTAAGCACCCCTGGAACAGCAGAGAGGGGGTTGGAAGAGTTCCAGTGCCCCAGTACCCAGAGACCCACCTGGTCAGGGCAGGTCACTCTTAGGCAGTGCTGCGACTGACCTCAGCCCAGGCAAAATCACAGAACTGGAGCTGAGATAAGACACAACTGAAAAAGTCTTTCAAAGGACAGGAAAGCTAATTCCTGACTCTGTGGGTTTGGACAAAGACAAGTGCAGTGGCAATGTCTGATATCATTTTCTGAGGGAGGTGTGATTGGAAGGATGAAGGCAGCTGCATATCTGTAATTTAGTATGAGGGTGCTCATGCACCACATCTGTCACAGTGAGCTCATGGGCATTCTGTTTCTCCTTCCCCGGGACCCTGTGACTCTGATCAAGATAACCCTGGATCCCTCCTTTCTGCCCCAATGGGGTTGGCGGAGAGCCGGGGAAGCCCACCCTGTCCAAAGTCTATATAGACCCCTGACATTTCCTGTTCGTCCTCTTTTGCCCCGCTCTCCCCCAAGGACATCACAGAATAAAGAGAGCTGAACCAACTTATCTCGGGGTAAGAGCCTCTTTTGGAAATCTTTGCCATCTCCTGTTATTCCTCCCCTCACAGCCTCTGATCTCTGAGCTAGCCTGATTATTCGGGGGGCCGTGTGAGGGGGGGAACCACACACATCCAAATACTGAATGGAGTTCCTTATGGTAAGAGATCTGTCTGGAGCCAGCAGGGAGCCCCAGGGCCCTGGACTGAGCCTCTCCGAGAGCAAGAAACAGGGATGAGGCATGAGACATGCAGATCTTCCAACTCTCTGGGCATCCAGCTTGGGTTTCTCTCCAACATTACACTGTCTGGTAGGAAGGTGATAGCCAGAAGAATTGTGTTGTGCATGGCTATCAGGAATGCACAGCCTCCAGTGAAATGCATTGGACACCTGGAAGGAGCTGGCCCTGTCCTCTATCCACTGTGTGGAGTTCTAGCCTTGGCCAGGAACCATCTCTGGCCACAAACCCTTATTTTTCTGTGTCATTTTGGATGTTAATACATCTAATTGAAGCAAACATTAATGCTCTGCATCCCAGCAGTGTGATCATCAGCTGCCTTGCAGGCAGATGGGTTTGAAATCAGTGGTCCCGTGCTCCAGACCTTTTGTGTTATTTCTGTGGGATCGTGCAGTGCTGACAAGAGGGACTGGGACATGGACACCTCAGTGCAGGGCTTGTACAGGCATCAGTCTTCCCCACTCTCCCGAAGTCACCCATCAAAGCCGGCACCAAATCACTTGGTATTGCAGAGAAGTGTGTGCTGCAATCGGATCATGGATTCCAGTCCAGGGCCTCTCAGTGTCTCAGGATTCCACTGTGGCCTAAGTAGAGAGAGCTGTTGCATGGCCTTTGGAAGGCACCGTGGCAGTGCCTGGTTTGTGTGCAGATGTGCAGGTAAGAACAAAGGACTCTGCTCCAGAGGGCGGAGGGCCCTTACCATGAGAGTTAACCCTTAGTGTTACGCAGTGGGGGAAGAGATGGGTGTCATGCACAGCCAAAATCGCATCAACACTGCATCAAAAGAGGTGGGGGAATGGGGGGATTCTGCCTCTCTCTCCCACTCAGGTGAGACCCCACCTGCAGAACTGCCCCAGCCCTGGTCTCCAGCACAAGCAGTATGTGGAGCTGTTGGAACAAGCGCAAAGGAGGCCATGGAGGTGCTCTGAAGGGTAGAGCCCCTCTACTCTGGAGCCAGGCTGGGAGAGCTGCAGGTGCTCACCTGGAGAGGAGAAGGCTCCAGGGAGAGCTCAGAGCCCCCTCCAGGGCCTGGAGGGGCTCCAGGAGAGCTGGAGAGGGACTGGGGACAAGGCATGGAGGGACAGGACACAGGGAATGGCTCCCACTGCCAGAGGGCAGGGCTGGATGGGATATTGGGAAGGAATTCCTGGCTGTGAGAGTGGACAGGTCCTGGCACAGGGTGCCCAGAGAAGCTGCCTCCTCTTGAAATGAACAGGGTTCACACCTTTATTAATAGTCAGCTCTTTATTAAAAAATCAGCTCAGCAGAGGCCTCGACAAGGAGCTCGCCCCTGCTGTTGTAGCTTCTGCGGTAGCCGAAGGGTGAGAAGGCGTGCAGAGTCTGTCCCTGGAGTCTCCGTGGCAGTCTCCGTTTACTGTGAGAAAACAATTTTACAATTGAAAACAATTTCACTCAATACTGTGAGAAAACAATTTTAGGACTGAAGAAACTATTAAACCCAGTCACACACAAATCTTGTCCTTTTTGGTTGAGTTCTGTTTGTTTTGTAAGCCCCACTTCAATTCCACTTCTCCCAATTCCAGCACCGAAACCCAGTGGAGTGCTTGAAAGCAGCCACTAGTGTAAACTTGCACCCTCTTCCCTGTCATCCTCTCTGTTGTGTCCCCCACCCACTGCCCTTGGCATGACCATCATCCAATATCTCTGTGGAAACCTCACATCTCTTTTCTTATGATAATCCCAATACAATCACCCAACAAACGCATGCTCATGTCCCGGTAGGGGCTGGAGAACTTTTACCTTCATTGTTTCTCTGCTCATCCATCTTTGTCAAGCCCAGGGACATGCAGGACTCCCTGTGCTCTCCCAGCTCACCCATGGCCTGGTGAGAGTGTTATGAACAAAACAGCCTGGCTGGGACACTTGGCTCGAACTAAGTACTGACATTGAAATGTTAATTAGCTAATTGTTCCTGGGAATCACCTACCTCCCCCCACCCTCACTACCATTCTAGGACTGGGATGCAAAATAATCCAGTGGAATCATGGGAGGGGGTTTTGGGGGATGAAAAACACCCCTAAATGGAAAAGATGGGCACAGTGGAGGGGGCTGGATGGGTGTGCTCGTTGGGGAAAAGGGAACCCTATCCCTAGTCTGTGTTTGACCTGTCACCATAACCTGCAGAGGACCAGACTGGACTGGGGTGTGGGAAGCAGGAGCAAAGCACACAAACACTTCCTGGTGTTACCAGGAGGGAAGGAGAGGGACAGCTGCTGCTGGATTTCAGCAGCAGGCTCTGCACATCCCCCCACCCTTTGGCTACCAGTGTGCCAGGAGACTTCAGGGACAGACTCTGCACGCCTGCTCACCCTTCGGTTACGGGAGAAGCTATAACAGCAGGGGTGAGCTCCTTGTTGAGCCCCCTGCCGAGCTGACTTTTTAATAAAGAGCTGACTATTAATAAGGCATAGACCCTGTTCATTTCAGATGGTTTATCATCTCTAGTAAAGGTGTGCTGTTTGATCCATTACGTTTCTCCTTTCAGAGAGAGGACTCCAAGTGCCAATTTGTTAAAGGTCTTGGGAGCCTCCTAACAGGGTATGGCAGCAGGGACGAGGGAGGGGCTGGGGAAAGCCTCCAGAGAGTGTTCTGGTGACTGGGCCTGTGCAGATATTAGAATGTGGCTCCTTTTACACAACCACTGTGCAGGAAGCCTGAGTGGTTACTGCCTAATCCTGCAGGATCTTTTGAGGAGAGGCCCTCAGGAAAGGAATTCCAGCCTTGAGAGCAGTTTATACCAAGAGGAATAGCGAGGGGAGTTTGTTGCAAAGTGCCTGTGACCCTCCCAGCACATCAGTGCAGTGGAGTGCCCCTTGCCCTGTTCAGCTGAAGTGCCCCTGCAGCCACCATGGAAGAGGGCAAGCTGCTGCCTGCTTTGCCAGGAGCACATGGTTTATTTCAGGAAGAGGGCGGTGCCTAAGTGTGTCCACAGCCTGTTTAGTGGGAGTGTGAGGTGGCTGGGGGAGCAAAGGGAGCTGCTCTTTCATGGAGGCTTCAGTGCTGTGCCAGTTTTATTGCCTGAGCCTTGGGCTCACTGAGGGAGGGGACGGATCCGCTCCCACCCCCACAGCACCTTTGGCCACCGTTTCAAAAACGCTCCTTCCTGGGGTCACTGTGGTGCTGGTGGTGGCCTTGGGAAGTTTGGGTGCTCTGCCCTGGATTCACAGCCGGTGGCTCACTGCAGATGAGGTGGAAAAAGAAGATTCACTTGCTCCAGAGACAAATACTGACCAAGATAAAATAAATCTTCCCTCTGAAAGTACAGAAAACATTGTGTTCTTTGAAACAAGTCCAATATGTTTGATTGAGTGCTTCTTTCTGAAAAAGTTCAGTATGTGTTGGCGCCAAAACCTCAAAGAGATTAATAAAATGAGCCCAGCTCCTTTTAAACCCAAAACTAGAGCTGGCCCAGCTGTACCCTTATCAGAAACAGGAGTTTAAGCTGGGCTACTGAAAAATATCAGTGGGGATGGCAGCTTATTTTATTCTTCCTTTGCCCAGGGACGTTTTGAAAAGCCCAAAGTTCTGAAGTGTTGCACACCATTGGGACAGAAATTGAGTCCAGATTTAGAGAATACCCTGTCAGAGCTATTTTGGCTTTATCTTTTAAAAACAATTTTAATAGATGTCACGGAATTCACTGAAGCCAAATAAATTGGCTCCAGGGCTCAGGTGGAGCTTGAGCCAAAATTTCCTGGGTTTAAATTCTGCAATTAGTTGTTTTTTGTTTGTTTGCTTTTGTTTGGTTTTTGGTGTTTTTTTTTTTTTTTTCTGTGTGGTTTTTTTTTTTCTTTAACTGGAATAATGTATTTTCATATTTTACCAATCTATAAAAAGCTTTCCTATTGCTAAATTTTACCGTCACATTTTGTGCATATGTGTGTGCATGCTTATAAATAGCCTATTAAATCATGGGCCAATTAAGATTTTTTACTATTTTTGTACAAAATTGAGAGAGATGCACAACATTACAAATAGAAAGCAAGACCATGGCTTTTAATCTGGGTTTAGATTCTTTTTTATAAGACAAATTCAGTCTCAAAAATTTTAAGGGACCAGCCACATAACAGAGGAAAAGAATTGCAGAGATTCAGGTCTCTGTTTCACATTAAAAAAATTAAAAATCCCCTAGCAGGCAAAACTGAATGAGGGAGCTGCAATCCCATTGCAGGATTATGGAACTGTACAATTCCCTGGGGCTGCCCCAGCAATGGCCCTGAGCACATGGAGCCGATAATCCCAGCAGCAGCTTCTCCAAGAATAAGAATGTAAATATTATGCAAAGACACAAAAAGTCTACTCATTGCTTGACTGGTACCTTTACTCCAAACAATGAAAAATCTCAACCAGCTGTTGGGAATTGTTTCCCTTGGTGTTTTCATTAGAACTTGTAACCCACTGTTCTCCCACTGATATTTAGAGAAGGAAGAATAATAGTACCAAGAGGATGCACTCTCTATTCCTCCTGGGCTGCTTACATGGGAAAATGTCTATTTTCATTTTTTTGGAGTATAAAAATGCCTGAAAGGTGGCAGACTTCTCTACTTCTTTGGTGGGGGGGAGGGGGGGGGTGTCAGAACAAGTGGGACTAAAAAGTCAATCTGAGATCAGTTCAGTTTACCCCGCTTTTTAATGGAAATAAGGCTGAGGAGATCACTCTTAGGCACACATGGGGTAATTTCCTCCATAAAACTGTCAACAAATTAAAATTAAATTTAACGGAGGGCGAGCATCTTGTCTCAGAAGCACAGTTTCTACAAATGTCAAGAAAACAGGCAGCTGAAGAAAAATACCCTATCAATTGCCAGGGAGGGAAGTGCCACAACACAAATGCCGCCTCTGTTTATGCACCAGGTGATCCAAATGGTAGAAAAATGTTATTAAGGAGAAAATGGGAAAGGTTTATTCCTGATTTTTGGGTTTTGCTCTGCCAGCCACATGCCAGAGACTTACATCTAGCTTAGCTTAGCAGTTTGGGGTTTCCCCACTGGAATCTGGGGGTAATAATCTGTCCTAACTTTAAAATTGAGAGAATCAGAGGAGCTGCTCATAATTTGCCTGGTCCAGGCAGCACCAAATGTTGCTCTACAACATTAGAGAGCAAGATTTTCTGTAGGGAAGGATGTGAATAATCACACCACTTTCTTTAAGTGCTCTAAGTTTGGAGGCAATAAACCCTCGGCTGATCTGAATGCACAGAAAACTTTTCTAGAGGTGGAGCAGAATAAGTTTCTGCTCTTTTTTTCCTACTGCTGTCCAAGCAAGCGAAGGACAAGCAGCTCCTACCACAGAATTCAACCTTCACCATCAGAAAGCCAGTTTCTTGCATTGTTAGCGAGAGAGACATGAAGATATTCTGAAAGGCCATCACATTTTCCTGGAATATATAATAATTTCACTGTGATAACCTTGGGAAAAACCATGTTAGTCTCTGAGTGCACATCTGAACAGTTGCAGCCATCTTCAGTAAACTAAAAAGCAATGAGTAAAGCCTGTAACTTTGTTAATGAACTGAAGATACAACCACAGGCAGAGGCTTGACAGAAATCAAGGGAAAGCACTGCCTGCAGCCCAAGTGACTCCAACACACCCTGCCTGTTCTCCCCTGGTCTTTGTCACTCCACCCATCACCCTCGGTTAATCCGCTGGGACGCAGCTTGTCATTTTATCTTAGCAAAACCTAACCAGTGCAGTTACATTAGAAACACCAAAATCATTTGACACTACAAGTAGCCATAAAAAGACACTGCTATTTCACTGTGCAAAGCAAGGTGTGAAATGGAACGAGCTATGGCAAGGCGAGATGGGTGAATGCTACTTCATATCCCTTGGAAATAAACTGCAAAGCTCAGCAGAATCAGTCTTCACAGCAGCAAAGCATTTGCATAATAATGGACACTATCACTTTATTAGTTCAGTGTAGAGTTGTGTTTTTTATGTTTTATTGCATTTGCATTATGTATAAGTTTGTTCCATGTACCCCCGGTCCTATAACGATTCCCCCCGGGTCTTCTCGTCTCTCCCCGCGGGTCTGTTGTCCCCAAGAAATGCCAAGTCACTGTGTTTACCCCCAAATGCCTGTCTGTCACTCGGTATCCATTCCCCCCACCTGGAATCTTACACCCGGGATGCTGAGCGATAGGCAGATGACCTGGGACCCTCCACCTGTCCGTCCTTCATTGGATGTACCCCCGTACCCCACTACCCTCAAACCCCCCGTGGCGTTACCCCATTGGCTGCCCCAGTTTCCCCCTGTCCTGTACTTAATCCGCATGCGCAGTGCGCCCGCCGCCTTCTCCTGGCCGGCTCCAGCGCGCCGCTCCGCCCTGCCCGCTAGTGCGGCTCAGACGAACACCGGTGCGGCTCGCCTGGCTCCCTTCGGATTTTTGTTTTCCCCGTTGGATTGCAATAAAACGGAATTCGCCCCCCGGAGAAAGACTCTCTTCATTAAACCATCGTGGGGTTCGCTGATTGCTCTTCAAACCCACACAGCTCCGCCCAAAGCCCGCGAGGGTTCAGCGGGAGGCGTTGGAGATCTGCCCGCTCCCCTTCTCCCCAGAGCTAGCCAGGGCAAGGGGAAGCAGAGGGGAGAAGAGAGCACCCCGGCAGTTGAGCAGCACTAAATCAAAGGAGGAAAGGTCAAAGAATATGTTTGCAGCTTATTGTTCCTGGCTAATGGAAATACACATATCCTTTACTAAAAGTCTGAATGTTTACCAGTTGCAATGTCAGCCTTGGCCCAAGATGAAAACACAGTATTTTTATGAAAACCTCTGCTCTTTCAGTGAACTTTGGTGACAGCAGTACACAGGTAACTAGCACCCTACACTACAGATTCGCAAGTCATTAGCAAATGACTCAAAAAAATCTGTCCTTGTAAACAAGAATTAGTGTCAGCAGTCTTACAGCTTCAAATACTGCAAGATAAAGCCCAGAGTGTTTGTTAGAAATTTTTCAGCCTGAAGGCAAACACCCATTCACACAAACCAGGCACTGGCATGGACTCTATTGCAAGGAAACAAAACCAGGTCAGTGAGACAAGGTACGCAACATTTTCCCTGTGCAAGATTAGCACCTACTACTCCACAATACTTACATTTATTAACCTTCAACTTGCTTCCGTCTACTGGGATCGGATCTTTGTAATTCCAGTAATATTCACAAGACCAGAAATACTCCGAGGAGTTTGTTCTGTTAGCCATGTCAGTGGTGCCTTTTAAGCCAGCTCAGAACTCTGACCCACTACTTTGCTTCACAGCACTGCAGCGCCCTCAGAAAGAGAATTGCACAACTGGTGCCTGTGCCAATCACTCTGGGGTCCCGCAACCCAAGGACTGCCTTGGGACTGAAAACATCTCATGGCAATGAGTGTTAATGTATGGCAGAGATGTAGGAGCAGCCCTGAAAATGCAATCCTCACTTCTTGCCGGACACTTACGTTACTCCCAGTCTGATGTCGGGAAAGCCGGAGCCCCGGCAGTGTCGGGCGATGTGTTGGACCGGAATGGGGGGACCCGCAGAGCGGGTCCGGCCCTGTCTGGGGACCCCAGCGAGGGTGGGGGGCGCCGGGCTCCGGCCCTCTAGGCTTTATTCTCGGCGCCCCGAGTCCCGTGGCTGCGGGGAAAGAAGGAGAGCAGGGAATGGGGAACGAGAACAGGGGAGCAGAGCGGCAGACGAGGGGAAGGGGACAAGGACAGGGGGCAGGTGGGGAGAGGTCAGGGTGTGCAGGGCAGGGTGGAGGAAAGAAGGATCGAAGGCAGATTTGGGGAAGGAGGAGGAAGGTGTGGAGGGTGGAAGGTATCATGGAAAGGCAGCAGGAGGAACCGGGGAGGGGAGGGGAGACGAGCAGGGAGAGGGGGCACGGGGAAGCCGGCTGGGGAGAGAAGGAAGAGGGACAGGATGGAGGGATAGGGTAGGGTTGGGGTGAGTAGGGGAATAGAGAGGGAGAATAGGGAAGGGGGTGTAGGGGTGGACCGCCCGGGAGGGCTAAAGGGGAGAGGGGGGTGGGGAGGTTTGTGAGGGGGGGAAGGAAGGGAGGGTGAATAAGAGAGGTATGGAGAAAAAGAAGCACAAAAGAAAAGCAACAGAGAGAAAAAGAGATACAGGACCCATCCGGCCGCAGACTCCCGCACCGAGCGCCAAAGAACAAATGGCTCTGCCCGGTCCTCCCCGCGGCTTAAATCCCCCACGGCCCCGCCCCGTGCAGCCGCGCAGGGGCCCGCACACCTGTGCCTACCTGTGCACACCTGTGCACACACCTGTGCACACACCTATGCACACACCTGTGCACACACTTGTGCACACACCTGTGCTCGCACCTGTGCACACACCTGTGAGCACACCTGTGCTCGCACCTGTGCACACACCTGTGAGCACACCTGTGCGCACACCTGTGCACACCTGTGAGCACACCTGTGCACACACCTGTGCACACACCTGTGCACACACCTGTGCACACACCTGTGCTCACACCTGTGCACACCTGTGAGCACACCGGTGCACACACCGGTGCACACACCGGTGCACACACCTGTGCACACACCTGTGCACACACCTGTGAGCACACCTGTGCACACACCTGTGCACACACCTGTGCACACACCTGTGCACACCTGTGAGCACACCTGTGCACACACCTGTGCTCGCACCTGTGCACACACCTGTGCACACACTTGTGCACGCACCTGTGCTCGCACCTGTGCACACACCTGTGCACACACCTGTGAGCACACCTGTGAGCATACCTGTGCACACACCTGTGCACACACCTGTGCACACACCTGTGCTCGCACCTGTGCACACACCTGTGCACACCTGTGCACACACCTATGCACACACCTGTGCTCACACCTGTGCACACACCTATGCACACACCTATGCACACACCTGTGCTCACACCTGTGCTCACACCTGTGCTTGCACCTGTGCACACACCTGTGCTGGCCCCGCCCCCTCCCCCCCCCCGCCCGTAAATGGCGGCGGATCCGCGCCCGCCCCGCGCTCTGCGGGGACGCTCGGCCCGGGCTGCGGTGGGACCGGCGCTCGGGCCGCCGGAGCAGAGATCCGGATCGGGGGCTGCTCCCGGCGCTGCACGGCGTCCGAGGCGCTTAGGCGGGACCGGGATCTGGGCCTGGGGATTTGGGTCCCGGTCCTGCCGGTGCCTGCTGTGGGAGCCGGGCAGAGCCGCTTCTTCCTCGGCGGGCGGGTGTGGGTGGCAGGGCCGGAGGTGCGAGGCGGGATCGGGGCTGAGGTCGGTCGCGGCATCGCGCTGGGTAGGAAGAGCCGCTCTGGGACGGGCGCTGCCGCTCCGGCTGCGGCCGGCCCGGGGCTCGGGTCCCGCAGGGGATCGGGTCCCGTTCTCGCTGTGGCCGCGGGGAGCCGGGGCTGTGCCGGTGCCGGGACCCCATCGGCACCACCGCTCCCGCAGCGCCGCCTCCGGCCCCGCGGGAGGACACGGAGCCGCCCCGCAGCCCCCGCAGGATGCCGAGCCCCCCCGCCCCGGTAGCCCCGTGGCCACCGCGCTCCCCTGCGAGCAGCAGCGCCTGCCTCCCCCTCCCCGTGTCCGCATCCCTCGGGACCCCCGCCGAACGGGCGGGGTTGCAGCGCTGGGGCTGCTGCTCCCGCTCCGACTGTGCCCGGTGCGGGGCTGGAGGAGCCCGGAGCCCCCGCAGGGCAGAGACCACCTCCTGTCCTTGGCTCTGCAGGGCAGGAGCTGCCGTGCCCTGCCCGTGGCACGCAGTGTGCCAAACGCACGTCCCGGCACGGGCACTGGAGCACCAGACAGCGCGGGCACAGACACGGCTAAAGGGCTGCCTGTGGCTCCTCAGCCAGGGACTGCTCTGAACAGGCATGCAGGGATGCTTCAGCCCGGACAGACACCACCGACAGCCCAGAAGGACCCCAAGGAACGGCTGGCATTACCTGGGAATGGAGGCACGGCCGTTTGCAGAGGGGCTCTGACAGCAATTCCTGTTTCTGACCTCCCTGAGCTCCCACACAGCTGCCAGGTATGTACCAGCCACCCCACATCTCTTCCCTCTTTTCCAGCCTGAGGCCATCGTCCACCAGCAGCATTTAAGCCAAGGCAATCTTCCCTCACAGATACTAAATCCCAAGCAATAGGCCTCAGAGATGCCTTAAAATCAGAGGTTCGAGTGGGATGACATTTGGAAATTTTCAGGGAGCCAGCTGGAAGTGCAGAAGCAATGGAAAACTTTCACAGGTGGGTCCCACTGGAGGTGTGCTGAAGGCAGGGATGTGCATCTCTTTCCTGAGGGAAAAGGACATGCTGAGGCCACTGCTGAGGCTCTGAAAGGAGCTGAGCTTCTGCAGGAGAGATGTACTGCCTCAGCACAGGCCGGGAGCACATCCAGCCACCGCCTTGTCCCGCTTTAAAATATCAGCTGGAGCTTGAGCCCCGGGGGGTGAAATCAGCTGAATTCCAGGGAACTCTGTCAAGTGACCCCAGAGACATCCCTGGGGCTGGGGGATGAGGGTTTTAAATAGCAAGTTCTATAGAATAGAGACCTGTCCTTGTCCCACTGAGCTTCCCTGGACCTCTGCTGGTTCCTGACACAGCTGGTGTTAAAGTGGCAGCTCTGCATGGGAATTTCCACTCTCCACGAGGCACTGCCAGGTTATTCCAGCAGGAATTCAGCAGGGAATTTGGGGCTGTGGGTATAATTCATCTGACCTCGCAAAGCTGATACTGAACCTCAAATCTGGGCACCACACAGAGAACAATCTTTGTGCTAAAGCCCCTGGACTGGGAAATGTCAGCAGCCAAATGTATGGAATGATCTAAATCCCAGCAGCCAGCATCCTCCAGAGGGACAATCCAAGTGCCAGGGTGGGAGCCCATGTCCTTCCCCTGCTGCTGGTGGGACAAATTCCCCTCGGCACAGTTGGCTGGGCGGGAGCTGAGAGCAGGAGGGGCAGGAGCGCAGATGGGAGATGAGGCGACTGGAATGTCACCTGGATCAGCTGAACACGTTCTGTCCCTGCAAGAGCCAGGAGCCAAAGCAGATCCCTCCTGGCCGGGATGGATGGGAGATGAGGCTGCTGGAATGTCACCTGAATCAGCTGAACACATTCTTTCTCTACAGAAGCCAGGAGCCAAAGCAGATCCCTCCTGCTTTGGTGGGCAGCTGCTGGATCTGCTCTGGGGGAAAACTCCCTGCCCCTGCCAGGAGCGCTGACTCTGCTTTTCCTCCAGCTCCTGAGCAGTGCCAGGGCCACCGTGAGGGAGTTCAAACCCAAAAAAATCCCACAGCCCACGGAGTGAATGATCCCAGCAGAGAAACGCAGCATTGTAAATAAAAAACTTAAGAGCTCTGTTAAAAAGCCTATGACAACACTGTAATGGGATTCCCAGGAACCTTCTGGTTTGCTCTTGGAATGCTCTTGGTTCTGTTTTTATGTATTTTTAGTCCCTCAACGGACAGCTTGTAGAATTTATTCTGGGATTTAGAGGTTGAGCAGGGTTGGCTCTGGATTGACCTTCACCTCTGGTGCCACTTTGTCCAAACACAACTTGGCCAGGCCGGGTGAACTCACAACCTCAGCTTTCCCCTCCAAAATATCCCTTACTTATTTCCCTGCAGACAAACTCAGATTTTGCCCCAGACTGTCACTCCTCACCTCCCCTTGCCCACACAGTGTCCATTCTCTTCCCCACAGTGCCCTGGTGACACCAGGGAGGTCCCTTTGCCTTTCTCCTGCTCCTTTCCAGCCCGAGGCCGCTGTGGGGCACAAGAGGGGAAAGGATCCAGAAAACCTTTCTGCAATTAATCAACAATTATTTCCAATTCACCAGTGGGAAGAATATGAACTCACGAGGCCTGACAGGTTCCTGCAGTGACAGGTTCCTCAGCGCCTGTCTGCCGAGCTAAGTACAGCATCTGAAAGGAAAAAACCACAGGAGAAAAATGTGATTTATTTTGCTTCAAAGTTATTTCAAGTTCTTAAAGCCCAACCAACTTTTGCTGTTGATTTTGGTTGGGTGAAACATGAGCACTGGGGAGAGATCATGCCATTGATGCCAATGTGCGTGATGATTTCTGGGGGCAGAAAAAGTAGATTAAGCTCACCTTATGTCAAGCAGTTATTAAAAAATATTTATAACTGAAACTTACAAATAAAAGAAACATAACACCCTTTAATTACCATAATGTTTCTTCCATTATTTTAACTAATTCTCAGTGTATTTTATAAGACTTAAAATAACACCTCCTCCCTAACCGACTCATTAGACAAATTAGACATTAGTGATATTAGACTCATTAGACAAAAAGCCCTAATGCCAATCTCACTCTTACACATCTAACAAGAGACCCCCCCCATAACCAAACACAAAATCAAAATAACCTACCAAAAGTAGTCCTTACTAACATTAAAAATACAACTCAACCATATCCAAAAAAACCCTGAAATTTATTTCCTCCCAACACTCTTCAAATTCTAAATCAAAAACTCTTGAAAAAATAACAAAAACCATAAAAACATACTTCAAATGTAGAAAAGCCTAACCATACAAATAAATATTTGTCAAAGCCCACAAAAAATATAAACCAATCTAATCAATATCCTACATTAAAAAAAGCACTATACAAATTAGTACAATTTTATATGTAATATAACTAAAACTCTTTTACTAAGAAACATCTCCCAATAAAAAAAAGATATAAGTAATAATCATAGCTCAACAATCCAAAATTTCTCCAAAACCAAAAGACTTAAAAAACTTTAAATATTTATAAATAATAACCTCCAATAAGTTAAGTATTAATAAAATCAAACAAAATTAAATTTCAATACATTTAAGTCTAAATATTCTTACATTTCATTTTATCACTTTAATATTCTATTAAAATTAAGTTTATTTTTCCTTACTATCAAAATTCATTCCGTCTAAATTTAAATGTTATTTAATATAACTTCTCCTAAATTTTATTAAAAATAATTTATCTAAACTATAAAGTATATGGTTAATATTCTTAAAAAAAAAAACAACTCCAATTAAAAAACTAAAATAAAACACTAACAAACACCTATTCAGAAGTAAAAAAATACAGTTTAATATATCTTAAATTTCATCAAAAAATCTGTTCTCCATCACAATCTCTACTATTTTTATCTTTTATAAATAACACCAAAAATAATAATTACTATCAATATCATACTATTTTACAATTTTTACTCTATTTCCTTAATATATTGTTCTGGTTTGAAAGCACAACCAGTGAGAGAATCCAAGTCAGAAATACAGTTTATTGGGAAAAGGGAAGAAGACAAAAATGCATGCAATGATACAAAAGGAAGACCACTGACAAAGTCAGAATACAACCTGACACCCCTTTGGCTAGCGTGCTGGTAGCAGTCTAAATTGGAGTGGCTGCAGTCCTCTTGGAATGGCAGATGTGGTTGCCCTGTTTTCTCAGAAACCTGTGGAGAGGCTGCCTCTCTGTCTAGAAATCCCCGGATTTATCCAGGTGTGAATGTCTAGCTCCTCCCCTGGGTGGAGCAGCTCACAATGGGCTGATGTTATTGAGTCAGGAGGTGTGTCCTTGATCACCTGTTAAATGGAACTGGCTCCTGGAGAGTGTTATCTGAGTCACGTGGCAAGACACTGATGAGCCTATGAGCAGGAGATAAGGAAAACTGCCCAGAGGCAACTGCTACTCGGATGGTAATAGGAAACATCTTGGTCTTCAATCTTGGACATATATAAATATTTTCTTCAAAGTTATCCTAATTACTTCAAACACTTACTACTAATATAATAATTATATAATGCAAATATATTCATTTTTATAATAAACATTATTTATAAAATATTAGTATAATATTTACAATCAACTTTCATATACTTTATCATCTCTTTATATAATGATCTAAAAAAACCATAAAATTTCTAAATCCTACTTTTTTTATTCTCTATTTATACATCACTTAAACTAGGTTAACTCTCTAACTAATCTCTACACTAACTCTAATTTAACCTAATGTTATCTCACAATTTTAATTATTTTTCAAAATTAAAAAAAAAAGAAAAATTAAACTTCATTAAAAACCTCCTCCAAACTGTTAATCTTATCACTTTCCTCAGTTATTATTACAAAAACACTTAAATAAAAATCCAACTACAACATTAATTTCTTTTTTTAAGTTTCACAGTAAGTAACCAATCTCTCACACATTTCCTTCACCTTCACACTCTCAATATCCAAATCCAAATTCACAGTCCTGTCTAAAACCACTTTCAATTCTTTAAAAAAAATTTTACTATATTAAAAACATCTCTATTCCAAAAAAACTTCTAAAAAATCCAATTATTAAATAATGTAAATAATCTTTAATCCTAAAACTTTTACTTTACTTTACTATCTTAGCTACTAATTTAAAAAATATTATATGAAAATATATTCAGTAACATCCACCAATTAAAATTTAAACTATAACCAAACCCTAACTCCACCTAAATAATTAACAACAAACCCACATACTTTCTACATAAAAAATAAAATTCAAATAATTTTGATGTAATAATTCAACTTTATCAATATAACAAATAAACTTATTTTTAAAATAAACTTTAAAAATCATTATCCAAACATAATTATCCAACCTTCCGCTAATGAAACGTTTATCAACTGTTATAAACTCTAAAATAATGTACATTATTTTAATACTTACTAATTATATAATTTCAGATATGTTACTAATTATAGCTATTATCTAAATAATTCCTAATTATTATCAATTTCTTCTTTACTACATACATTTTTACTTTTATATTTCTTCATACTTATAACTAAAAAAATATAATAACTTATTCATTATCTTGCAAATCTCTATGCAATTTTATAAAACAAAACTTAACAAAACTTTATTTCTCATATCAAAACATAAAGTTTACTTATATCTCAACAAGTACAAAACCACAAGTCAATTTCAATAAGAAATATAAAATAATATCACACAAAAAACACACTCACCACTCCACAAATAAAAAAAAAATGTAAATACAAACATAAATTACACAATGTAAATACAAATGTAAATTCCACAAATGTAAATTACACAGGAATTCCAACTTTTACACCCACAAAAAAATATAAACTTTAAATTTCTTTATAAATATAAAAATCTTACTATTTAATAACTTTAAAATTATAAAATTCCATCAAATATTATACTTCTACTCTATTTACTTTATTTAACTTTAATTATATCTCTTTACCAATTAACCAACCTAAAACAGTAACTTTAAGTAACTTTAACTAAAGTTTCAAGTTTAAATATGTTGTATTTATCTGTCATTACTCAAAAAAATCCATTCTTTACTTACTTAATATACCAGTAAAAAGCATTACAAATAATCCATATAATTAAAACCCCTTATATTATTAACTCTTAATATAAAAATAACTACCAATTTAAAACAAAAAAATCATTTATCCATCAATAGTAATCAAAATATAAAAGTAATTTTAAGCCTTGAAACTTTAAAAAAAATCGTAGCATCACTTTTTATACCACCTATTACTTCAACAACACTAAAACAATTAAATAATTTAAAATATTATCTAAATAAACAATCTAATACTACATCCCTTACATTAAATGACTTTTTAACAAATATCAAAAATATTAAACATGCAGTTTTACAAAACACAATCAATTTTCTTTTATTAACACACATACATAAATATAAAAATTTTAATGCAATGTATACATTTATCTAGTCACTCAAAATCTATTTATAAAAATGTACAACTGTAAGAAATAGCAAAAATAAGAATAAATAATAAAACTTAATTGACAATTTATTTAATAAATAAAATGTAACAACATAATTAAAAATCTTATGACAGAATTATACATTTTAATTATTATAATAATACTACTACTAATGATAACACCTTATTTATCTTAATATATGTAACAAATGCTTAACAAATCCATTAATAAAAATTGGTTTTAATACAGAAAGAGGGGAGAAGTGGGAATCGGAAAACCAGAAACTCCCACAGTCACTGAAAGATTTGATCTGCCTCCTTGGGAGAAGCTGGGATTGATGTACAAATACAAGACACGGATATTAAGCAGAAAAAGAATAAAATAACTTCTGTTTTTGTGGCTGTAATTAAGAGTATGCCCTGAGTGAGTGAGAGAGAAACTGTGTGGGTACGATGGTGAAGGGTTTGTAGTGTAGGGGCGCGGTTGTGTGGGGTAAACTGAGAGTTTACACGTTCTCAAGGATTCAACAAACTCTGGAAAGTGATTTGCTCTCCCTCTTCACCAAAAAGGAAAATCTTATTAACATATAGACTCTGAATAGAAGAAAAGACTGATTGCTGAAATCTTGGCCTCAGGCGGAATTTTCCCTATAAAAACCGCTTGTGCCAGGACAGAAGTGTGTGGGCATGGAGGAAAACCTCTGCTGAGGCTGACTCCTTGTTGCACACCCAGGGCCGACCCCGGGCTCGGCTCTGTTCTTTCCTTGTGGCTGGCTAGATAGAATTTGATTGCAAAATAAATATTTTATTTTTTATATTAATTTGGCTGGACAAATTTTAATTTATAACAACCAACTGCCGACGCTTCTCTCCCCGATGCCCTTCCTCAGCCCCGGCTAGCTCTTCAGGGGAGAGGTGCGGGCAGGTTTCTAGCGCTTCCCGCTGGACCCTCGCGGGCTTTGGGAAGCGCTATTGGAGTTCCAGAGAGCAGCCAGCGACCCCACGGCGAATTACGAGGAGAGTCTTTCTCTGTGGGCGAATTCCGTTTATTGTAATCCAACGGGGAATACAATAACTCGAAGGGGACCAGGCGTGCCGCGCTGGGGTTTGCCGGAAAGGCGCGGGCAGGGTGGAGTGCGCTGGAGCCCACCAGAAGAAAGCATGAAACAAACCGCGCAAATGAACTAAATACGGAATCGGGGAAAACCAAACAGCCAATGGGGTAAAACTGCGGAGGGGTTCGAGGGTGGTGTGATACGGGGGTACATCCAATGAAGGATAGACAGGGGAAGGGTCCCAGGTCCTTTACCAATCACCCGGTGTCCCGGATGGAAGATTCTAGGTGGATGGGAAGGGACACAGAGTGACGGACAGGCATCTGGGGTAAACAGGGGGATGACTTAGCACTTTTGGGGATAACGGACACACGGGGGAAAGGCGGGAAAACCCGGGGAGAAACCATTATAGAACCGGGGGTACATGGAACAAACCTATACATAACACAAATGTAATAAAACATAAAAAACACAACTCCACAACCAACATCACACAGGCCTTGTTTGCAGAATTCCTGATCCAAACCCTCACCTTTCCTGCCCAGCACTGAGGGAAATCTGACACAGTATTAGTAAAGTAACCTTTGCTGAGAGCAGCCATCACCCCAGTCCTCCAGCCTTGGCAAGACTTTGCAGTGAATGGACCCAACTTCTAACCCCGAAACTAAATTTCAGTCATCTTTTGTTAGAAAGATACTGGAGAGTAAATCATACAACAGATTTAAAACCTTGCACAAGGAATAACAGGCCCAGACAAAAAAACCAAACCACCCCCATCTCTGTTCCACCCCATTTCTCTCAGTTTTGGGAGAAATATTGACATACTTTGTAAATACTCCCCTTCCCTGCTACACTGTCCTTCACTGCTCATCCCGGGAGAGGATTTACTCTGGTTTTTGTGCCAACAGCACCTCTGCAGCCCAAATCCCACTCCTCACAGACACAAACTGAGCAGACCTCAGGCAGTGTTCCCAGCAGCGGATGCAATTCCGAGTTCCCTGGATTGCTCATGCAGGCACTCACAACAATCTCACCTCAGCCCAGACTCTGTCCTCAGAGGGAAGCGCAGCCCGACAGAACACAGCTCTGGCACCACATTCCCCCTTGTTCCTGCTGGCCTGGAAAGCCACAGATAAACCCAGTCTCTCCAACCCTGCACCCCTGAACCCCAGGAGAGCTGGAGCTGTACCCAGATCCCGGCACCCTGCACGGCTGCGCTGACACCAGCACAGGCTGATCACTGCCCAGCACCATTCCTCATTTTCCTCCCACTGCTCCCAAATCCTCCCAGCCCTCCCCTGCAGTTCCTGCCCCAGCCCCAGCAGAGGCTGTCACCCAGCCCTGCAGCAGCTGGCAGAGCTGGGAATGCACCGAGAGCTCGGCTCCCCAGGCTCCCGAGACCCAGACCAATCCTTGGGTACACCAACAATGCCCAGCCTGCCCCTCTGGGCACAGCCAAACACCACAACCCCATCATCCCCAAGGAACTCTGGCATTTGCCTTTTCCCTGCTGCCCTTTTCCAGCACACAGGGGTAGGGCTGGGCTATCAGAAATGGCATTCCCTAGGCAGTTAATCCCAGCAGAGAGGAAAAGAGGAACCCTGCATTCCTCTGACTTACCCCACAGCGTGGGCAGGACCAGGAGCCCTCCAGCGCAGACCTGTTGCCCTGATTTTTAAAAGTGTTAAGTTTCGTTTATAGTTCTTTTGAAAGTTTTAAAGTTCCCATAAAACTTCTTTAGCTTTCTGATAATGTTTACATATTTGAGTGTCAAGAGTTCCCACTCAATTTCATGTATAAATAGAATAGTTTACATATTTCTCTGTGAGTGAAGAGAAATGATTGATCTTTGGACCAGTGTGGTTGGAGAGGTGGTAATTCCATCCTCCAATCCATGGTCACCTTTAGAATTCTATAAATACCAGATATTCAAATAAAACTTTCTCTTTTTTCTCTTTTGAACTTACCAAGCTTCTGTGTACTCATTTCATGTCCAATAGTAACACAGAGCCCTGGTGCTGAAGACTCTTGGCTTTGGCTGCTTAAACACCGAAGCTTCTGGCAAAGATGGGAGGAGTTTAACGATTTTTCCTGTCCTGAAAGAGAGGAGGAAAAGAACATTAAGTCCACTGTGGAAGTCAAAGGATCCTGGCTTTCACACTTCTGCTGTGATTGTTCGCTATGGGGTTTTATCCATGAGAGGTGACACCAATTCAAATATAAAAGTGCCCCTTCGCAGCATTTTTATTCCTAACTATTTCAAACATTAAAAGGAAGCTAATTTTTCTTATTGCAATCTTAGCCTAATTTTAACAGAACCATTTTTATTCCAGGCCCCACCTGTCATTCAATCCTTTACCACTGGACTTTATACAAAGAAAGGGACACCTGAGTTGCTGTGCCATAAGAAATCCCAAATAGAAACCTGTCCAAAACCTCACAGAGAAAAGTTTCAAGGCACTCCAGAGCACAGACATCTGCTCATGCCTTGTCAGGCCACACCAGTTCTGTCACATCCACCTGAGCTGCACAGGCGAGGCAAAGGCTGCCCTTCCTCCTAGGGAACACTGTCTGAGACCACAGACAGCCATCCTGGGTGAAATGAATGAAATTAAACTGTTTTCTGGCAGAAAATGAGTGTCTATAATCAGGACTTCTGGACAAATTTAGTAACACCACTTTCATGTGATAAATACAGGCCATGCCCATCCTTCCAGCCCAGGTGAAAACAGGAAGAAGAACTACAGGAAAAGGAGGAAGACAGAGTCCCTTATTTGGATATATTATAGAATGCCCCTGGTTCAGCTGTTTTCCTTTGCTCCTAAGCTTTGGCTTCACCCCCTCTCCAGAGGAGCAGGGAAGTCCTCCAGGGTGAGGGGGAGTCTGGTCCCACACCAGGGATGTGTCTAGTAAAGGAGGGGAGCTGTTTAGAGTAACTGACCAGTGTTTTTGTTACACACAAAAATCAAACCAAACAAACATTGTACTGGACTACACTGAGCTGCAACACAAAGTGTTCACAGCAGGCAGAGGCCAGAGGAGCACACAGGACCCAGAAGTACCATTTTACTTGGTTCTTCTGCTCACATGCATTTTAATTCTGCTTTGCTTCACAGCTGCTATTCTGCCAAGGCCATTTCCATTTTCAGAAGACTGTGTCATGTGTAGCCAAGGCTGGAAATCCTCACTTAGGATTTCCATGTCACACCTGGATTTGCCAGGAAGCCCGTGCACACACGTATGCCCCTTTCTGTGATATGTCAGCCAGAAGTTGCCGTGTCTTGTCCCCACTTCGCAAGAGCAGATCTCTCGCCAGCCCCGGCTAGCTCCACGGGGCGATAGGGCATGGGAGGCACTCTGTGCTGAGACCAGCAGGGTTTTAAAGAGTGCCTTCGTGGGTCCAAGGACACTGCCGATCCCACCGGCAAGGACGGAGGCGACACTCTTCTGGGGATAGGTCCAAGATTTATTGGGACTCCAAAGAGAGCTCCGGGGTCCAAGCACTCTCGAACAGATCCCACAGAAGAGAGTGAGCCCTGAGCCTTGAACAGGCCTTGATATAGGGAGGGTGGGAAACCCAATCAGCCAGTGGGAGAAGATGTGGGAGTGGCCCTGCGAGGGAAGGACAACTGGGGTATCCACTTAGGAGGGAGGAGGGGAGGGCCCCAGGCCATTGTCCAGTCACCCGGGAGGGGTCAGGGGCATGAGTCAGGGTTTTTGGGATTGATGGGACACACAGGTACTGACGGGAAAACCTGGGATGAACCAAGAGCACAAGGGCGGGTACAGAGGGATAAACCATTTTGAACATACATACAGTGGAACCTAAAAACACAACTCCACAAGAAGTCATGCAACCCAGCAACTTGCTTCTCACTGCACCACTTAGAAATACATTAAAAAGACAGAAAAAAAAACCCCAACCAAACAACAACCCACAAAAGAGAGAGCTTAGTGCAGCACCATCTTAATGTTCTGCTCAGTGGTGGAGAGAAAGAAGGAGGAAAGCTGTTCTTCCAGCACTCACAGTTCTGGACCAAGAAACAGCCAATATTGCCCTCACCTGCAGCTTCCCTCCTTGCTTCAGCCGTACCCTGACTTCTGAGGCACCAGAGGCACCACACAACCCAAAACTGCCAGCACCCACACCCACCACTAGTATGGACATCTTCATGTTCCACTTTTGGCAAACAAACCCCAGGATGTTTCTGCTTTCCTGACAGACTTGGCAAATTTCATTGACACTTACCAAGGCAACAGACACCCTCTATGGTTCCAGGGCCAGATCCCCTTTGGCACAAAAACCCGAGAGAAGACTCCAGCAGCAAATTGAAATCCCGGACAGGCAATGAAGGCCTGTTTCTGGCAGGCTCCTTTTGGCTTTCAGGGCACAGGAAAGGCTTTTAGACCTTTTGCATCCACGTGAAAAGCCCATACTGAGCACTTGGTTTTAAAGATGTTGCACTTAATGTTACAGACACAGAATTGCTCTGGGATTTGGCATTTCCTGCACCCACACAAACAACATTAAAAGAATTAAGTGCAGAGTCCTGAAGTTCAATTATTCCAATTCTGTTTTGGTAGGGCCACTTGACCTACCAAAACCCACAGCAATATTTAAAAAATGAAAAGCAACTTCCCCCCCATCCACACACTTTCAGTTTTCCAGTTTAGGGGTTCTCTTAAGAGCAGGTTAAAGAACAGAAGAAAAAAAGCCCAAGACCTACCATCACCTAGTGTACCAACCACCTGTTTTCCATGGATTTTCCTTACAGCTGATGTATTTTCTAAGAAAATAAATTTGTACGTGTAAAAACCTGTCCAGTAGGCAGATGTTTCTGAGCCCACACCTCGCAGGTAAAAGATCAGAGGAGGAGTGGCACAGAGGGATACAAAAGTGCCCAAGAGAGGTCCAAGCTGATGTATTTGGGCAGGATTATTTGAACCCAAAGTGCTCTGCAGCTGCCCCAAGCCCGGAGCTCACAGAAACAAAATGAGCTCCCCCTCCTGCCTCATTTTCTGCCCTCTCTGCTCAAGGGAGAATCACACCATGCAAATGATGGCAGAGAAATGGTGAGACCTGTCCAGTGCCCCCAGGAGGGCTGGCACCAGGGCTCATTCCCTCCTCTGGCTGATGGAACTTAAACCCAGCTGTTCTGGGATTTAAGAAGCAAAGCCCAGTTTTGCCACTTGCTGTTCCACTCCCTTCCACATCTGCACAGCAGGAATATTGCTGTGTTCTGCATCACACCCAAGAGCAGCAGCCCTGGGAGTGCTGCTGGAACCCAGACACCTTCCCCTTCTCAGACACCAACCTGACTAGTCAGCCCCACACTCCTCCAAGGTCAGAAAAAACACAAACCACTAAAAAATGGGTATTTTATACCAAATAGGACCCATTTCAGAGGTCAAACATGTCACACTGTATTCCTGGGCATTCTCAAGGCTTTTTGACACAAAAGTAGAACTTTCCACATGAAGGACCATGAATTTACCTTGTAACAATATCCTCCGTAAAACTTCCCAGGGAACAGCCCAGGCAAAATGAACAGGGCTTATGACTTTATTAGTGTTCAGCTCTTTATTAAAAAGATCGGCTGGGCAGGGGGCTCGACACGGAGCTCGCCCCCGCTGTTGTAGCTTTTTCCAGGTAGCCGAAGGGGGAGAGGGCTGCAGAGTCTGTCCCTGGAGACTTCGTGGCACACGGGTAGCCGAAGGGTGAAGAGGTGTGCAGTCTGTAGCTGAAGTCCGGATCAGCAGACTGTCCTCTCTCCTTTCCTCCTGGTAACACCAGGAAGAGCTGCCTCTCTGTTCCTGCTTCCCACAGCCCAGTCCAGTCCTCTGGAGGCTATGGTGACAGGTCAAACATCGACTAGGGATGTGGTTCCCGTCCAGCCCCCTCCGCTGTGCCCAGCCCTCCATTTAGGGGTGTTTTCATCCCCAAAACCCCCTCCCATGATTCCACAGGTTCCTCTATTTGCATCCAGTCCTTGAATGGCAGTGTGGGTGCGGGGTGGAGGTGATCCCCAGGTGGATTAGAGAAAACAAACAGAGCAATTAGCTAATTAACATTTCAATATCAGTACTTAGCTCAAGCTAGCAGTGTCCCAGTATTGCCATGGGAACCAGGAAGACTCTTTTGTTCATTACACCAGGCATTTGTAACACCCTCGGGAACACATTCCACATAAAGCATCTTCTCCTGCCACGTTCCAGCCCAGCTTTCCTCCAAGATTCCCATGTCAGCACAACTCTTATCTGTAACTTAGGGGTGGGTCTATGGCCACAGCAGCCCCGGGAAGAAAAACACAGCATTTGGTGGAGCCAAGGAATGGAGGAGCTGCCCTGTCCCAGCTCTGCCTCCTCTGCCAGGAGCAGGGGAGGTGCAGCTCTCAACCATAAGATCACTTCAGTTCAACCTTACAATAATCACCAGGCAACACAAACTATTAACCCCAAAGTCCAGTGCATCATCTGTGTGCTGTCTCAGGAAGTTCAGTTGGTCTTTGTGGGACAAAACCTGTTTTGGGCCCAAGAGCTGACTCTAATCCCTGCTAGCTGAACTATCCAGCTGTAGGATGTTCAAAATAAACATTGGATCCTGAAGGGCAGTTTGTAACCCTCTGTAAAACCCCAGGGGAGAGCCAGGCTCCAAAGACAGCCACTGGTGCCTCCAGCAGCTGCTGCTGGAAACGCTGGCTGGACTGGTACAGATGGGATTGAACTTTCACACAGCTCTGTCCCGTGGGACCGAGGGTGCCAGACCAGAGAGACTGATGGAAATATGACAAAAGCATGATTTAAATGGACACAAATGGGACTGAAAGCCCTACCCTGGAATGTGGGAAATGGATTTGTAGAAAAGTCTCAAAGCTTGACAGAAGGCTCACATAGTGTGTATCTGCATGCAAATGTAAGAAATGCTGACTTAAAAATGCTATGGAATACGACAGTGAGAGAGAGAAATCTTCCTCACACAAAGCACCAATTTATCCTATTATGGCCTTTTCTGACCCAGAAATAAGGCAACTGAGAAGTGTTTTAAAAACTTTTATTCCATTTTCAGTCTCACGTGAAGGGTGAGACAACACAGATGCTATAATTCATGCCATCACAATCAGAAGCCAACTATTTCCTAATTACAATACACTGTAAGCATTTCTTGGCCTATCAGCTTTTGCTACACCATGCTGTAAATGTCTTAAAACCAATCATCTAAAATTACCCCTCATGAATCTTATTACAATGCATCTTTCATAGTTCTATTTCTCTAAAACATCTAGTCTTATTTACAAAGTCATCCTTTAAAACTTATTTCTAGCTCCATTTCTCTCTCAACATCTGTCCTATTCCATGGCATTTTTAAGTCAGCATTTCTTATATCAAAATTTCCATGCAGATAGATACTTTGTAAACCTTCTGTCAAACTCTGAAAATTTTCTGCAAGTCCATTTCCCACAGCAGAACTGCTGCCTGCCCAGCACAGGAGCTGTGTAAGTGCTGTTGCAGGGCACAATGTCTGAAGGAACACTGGAGCTGTGACATTACAGCCAGCAAAAACAATTACTAAGTAGAAAGAGATCCTCACCTGCTCCAAGAACTGAACCTCTGTGGCTCATCCTCACAGAGTGACCCTGCTCCAGAGGAATCTCCATGCAGTCCCTGAGACCTGGGGTCAGACGCTGCCCTACCAGCACAAGAACAAAGGGTAATGAAGCTTTTTGGACACATTCTGTCCCCAGAGTGGTTTGACAAAATATCCATCAATGTGGATCTTTAATAAAGGCAGCTTGTATCTATGCTTGCAACAGACTTTCATATATTATTTCCTCAAATTCTCTGTTTTAATGTATTTTGATATTACAAGTATGTAAACAAGATTTAACATGAGCTCTGCACCCTGCCATGCTCCAAGCCCTAAGGAAGAGCTGGATATCCTCACACTTGCCCAAGCTGAGGCAGCTCTAAGTAGGGAGGGAGCTGCTGCAGCATTTAAAGCACTTAAAAATCACACCTGCCTTGAGGGTGTCCAGACCTGGGAGAAAGCCCTTCCCACCACTCTGTTGGATTTCCCTCCCTGCCACTGGCTTTGCTTCCAGCTTGGGAAGGTTGATCTTGGGGCCATTTCAGCATCACAAAGAGCTTTTCCAACCTGAGGGGTTCCATGGGAGTCCAGTGACTGACCCAGCTGTGCACCCAGCCATGCAGATTATCCTGCCATGAGCCAGAGCACTCCAGGGCATCCTTGGAACAGCTCTCCTGTGGAGAGCAGGAAAAAGACACAGCTGCAGCACTGATCCTGCTCCCTGCTTTCCCAGAGGGGCATGAACACCATTTCTTCCTGATCCTGAGAGCTCCAAGGGAAATCACTGTTAGGGTGGCACTGAAGCTGCCACTTTTCTGGCACCTTTGCCCTAGAACCACAGCCCAGCAGGTTTCTGTGAGAGCAGGGATTATTGGTGCAGTTCAGAAGCTGCACATCCCTAAAACATTCCCTTAACATGAAGCTTCCCATGTGCATTTTGTAGTACAGTTTGTAATTTAGGCGTATTTCTAGAGAGTTTAAATCAGAATGAGGTGACTTGGTGCCAGCACAGTATTAGCTATGGGACACCAGGAGACTCACCAGACAACATTCTCTGAAGATCCTCCATTCTCAGCACTCCAGCTACAGTATTCGCACTTCTTACAGACTTCGAGTTCTGTTTCCAGGACTCTCATCAGGAAACTGGCGGCCGCTTCCAGATGCAAATCCGCAGGGCACCACTGATCCCAGCCACTGCCCCTCCTCCATCCTTTACCCCTTTTATAGCCACGGCCACACCCAGGACACAAAAGGAGGCTCCCAGGTGCCTCCTGAGACCCAACTCATTCCAGGTGCATCAGGGAGCAAATAGAAATAAGCTTGTCCCTGTTGAGGTAATGAATTATCTTTTTCTCCATTTCCCCTTCTGTCTCCTGTTCCCTAAGGCAAAACACCTAGATCAGGTCGGGGTCAGGGGGAAAATGCCAAGTCCACAACCAAACCAAACTTGTTTTTCCATCGTTTCCATCAGGACTGTTCAGGTTTTCCCACTGACCCTCGGCCGTAGCCACAGGAGCAGCTTCTCTGGGCAACCCACGGGGGTGGGCACAGGGACACCCATCCCGCTGCTTCCCGGGAAACAGAGCTCAGCCCATCCCACAAAACGTTGTCACCGCAGCTGGGAACGCAGCGCGAGCTTCATTCCATGAAACACGATCCCAGAGAGCCTCAAGTCCCGGGACAAACTCGTCCCACGAAGCAGCTGGGTCCCACACAGCAGTGCTAAAGCACACACGTCCCCCTGTGGATCCCCCCGGCCGAGGTGACCCCATCCGGCCGCTCACCTGCAGCACCATCCGCTCGCTCCCGGCCTCGCTGCCCGAGCCAAGGGGATTTTCCCCGCTCCTGGCGCAGCTGCCGCTGGCACGGCAGGAGCAGGGCGGCCGAAGAGAGCGACCCCCGCGTTCTGTGCTGCTGGCCGCGCTCCGGCGGACGCGGGGGTGGACAGGGGCGGAACTGCAGCCCGCGGTGTCGCAGCTGTTCCGGGGCCCGGCAGGCGGGTACCGCCCGCAGCTCCCGCGGTGCCGCCTTTCCCTGTGGCAGCGGCTGACCTCGGTCATTCCTGGTGCTTCCTGGGAGTAAAAGCCGCCTCGGGAATTTGCTTCTGATAAAAGCGATCAGTTTTCTGATGGGAGCCCTTGAAATAGAGCTGAGTATCTGTGACACATGAGGATGCTACAGATGGAGTGATAGCAGAGGAAGTCTTGTTCCTGACAGTTACCCATGGGAAGAAAGCAATTCCCAGCCATCTTATGCTTGAGAAACAGGGAAAGGGAATTCTGTGTCCTCTCCTGCTTAGGATGTATATTTTTACTATCCTAAAAAGGGGCCATTCGAGGCTTTAGATAGATATGCGTAGGTCGAGGATCTGCTGCCTTGGCAGGGCAGAAGGTGGAGCTGCTGTTTGTGATTGTGACAGACCTGAATAATTAGAGATCAGTGGAAAGTTGTTCAGTGCACCAGAAATGATGGAGAATGTCAGCTTGACTGGTGTCACATGTAGAGCTGGGACAATGACCCTGAACACCCCAAAAAGGTAAAGAAACCCTGAGCCACGATGTCATCAGACCCCATAGGGGTGGTTTATTGGAAGCGCCAGTAAGGAATAACGGGAATTCCCTGGCCATCAGCTTGGTCCCGCCTGCCCACACCACTGCCCTTGGGAAGTGCTATTCTTCATGGCTGAGAAGCCAACAAACATTTTTTTCCTTCACCCCCTAAAACTCTTCTCTGCTCTCCCAAATTTCTCCTCAAACAGCATCCTTTCTCCTTCAGTCTCTCTGCTCCCTCCCCGAGTGTGTGGCTTCGCTGCTCCCTGGCGCTTCGGCAATTAATATAATTGATGCTGAGCCTCGCTGAGCCAGCGAGACACGCTGAGGGGCTCAGGCCAGGGCCGGCCGTGCCAGCACCATGGTGCGCTGCAGCTGCTCGTACGACACAAACATCACCACGTTCCAGGAGCCCAGCCGCAGGAAGGACGGGATGAAGCTGTGTCGGCAAAAGCAGTGCTGAAGGGTACGTGCTGGGGACATCCCCATCCCCAAAGCCCCGCGCAGAGGCTGGGATATTTTGGGTTCTGTGTCGCAGGTCCCTGCGGTCATCGCAGCAAGTTTGTGGGTGCTTAACTCACCCCTTGTAAAGGCCGGCGGGGCCATCCTGCATGAGCAGGGCCAGGAGGCAGCTCAGGGCGTTGCGGTACTGCCCAGAGCTGGCATTCATGTACCGCGTCTTCACCACGTCCACTGGTGATGCCACCACTGTGGCACAGAACCCGGCGCCAAAGGCAGCCACAAAGTGGCACAGGACGTTGTCTAAAGGTGGAGAAGAGCCGGGGGTTGGATGCTGTGGGGACAGGGATAGCACCTGGCTATGTGCCCCTGCGCCATCCTCACCTGTCATGAGCTGTGCCCGCAGCAGTGCGTCCTTGAGGAGGTCGTAGGTGACAAGCTCCCCGCAATTGATGATGGCATTGCGGGCGATGTTGGGCAGCGTCCCTGCGCAGGAGGGTGGTGGCGCTGGGACTGCTGCTCACAGTCCCTCCGGGAGCATTCTGGACAAGTGCCCCAGCCCTGCTGCCTCCATCCTTGTCCCCATCCTTCTTCCTTTCCTCATGGCCATTTCTGTTCCGATTCCCACCGCACCCCTTTCCCACGCCCATCCCTGCCCACACCTACCTCTCCAGAGGCCTCGGACCCCCTCCTCCCTGGCGATGGTGAGATAGGCATCCACCGTGCCGCTGTACCGCCGGGCACTGTCCGACAGGGCCCCGCTGGCCTGGAACCGGACTTTGACCACGTCGGTGGGCTGGGCGCAGGCCACGGCCACAGCCCCCGTGGTGCAGCCAGCCAGGAGTCGCGTGGCCACGCCTGTGTCTGGAGAGGGCAGCTATTGGGACTCCTGGCCTTGTGGGGTCCCTCAACCCTGCAGGGACCCCAGGGTGAGAAGCCCATGGTGTTTCACAGAGGTTGATGTCAGGCGGTTGTGCCCCCCAGGGTGGGTTTCTCTTTGGGAAAAGGCTGTGCAGCAGGAAGGGGGTGTGCATGGAAGTCCGGGCCGCCTGGACACTCACTCTCAGCACCCTTGGGGGTGTAGAGCTGCTTCACGGAGTCGTACAGACCGATGCGGATGGAGGCGAAGCTCATCTGGCGCTGCAGCCCGGCTGCCAGCCCGCTGTAGAGGCTGCGGGCTCCCTCCGTCCTCACCATGGTGCTCAGCGTGCCCAAAACACCCCGGTACTCCACGGAGCTGGTGGTCCGGGGGATCCTCACCTCACCCTGGATCTGTGGGGTGCCAACTGTATCACCCCACTTCCTGTTCCTCCCCAGGTGTCACCAGCTCTGTGGCAGAGGTGACATGGAGAGTCCCACGTCACGTCACCAGGTGCTCCCTTTGCCCACAGGGTTTTGGGGACCGTACCTGCAGCCGCACTTTGGCGGTGTCCAGGGGGAAGGTGCACAGGTCAGCGATGCAGCCGGCCATCCCCGCGCTGACGAACTTCATGGCAGCCGTCGGGGGCACCTCGGGGGGCTTCAGACCCACCATGGTGGAAGAGGGGCTGGAATGAGAGGAGGGGTTTTTGGGGGAGACAGCAGGGTGCATCAGGAGAGGGCTCCACGTGGGTGTCCTGTTCGGTGACAGAGGTGATGATGTGCCATGGAGGCTCTTGGTGGCTTTGGTCAATCCCCAAAACCATATCCTGCCCTGTCTCCTCTCTTCTATTGCAGGGAAACTGAGGCACAGGGCTTGCATAGCATGGAATCACCAATGCCCACCAATGCTTCCCTATCCCACCCCAGCCATAACAGGGGTTGCTGGGTGGGATCATCTCCCCCAGAGTGACGTGCTCAGAGCCATGTCTCTCCATGGTCTCACCGTAGGGACCTCGGCACAGTGTTCCAGCTCCTGCCTTGCACAGACAGTGCCCTGCGAGTCGTCTCGCTGGCCCCGCCCTTATATAGCACCCAGGACAACATTCCAGCAGGCACAGATCGGGTGACAGGAAAACAGTGTTCCCTCGGTGGCATTTCAGTTGATGGGACTGGGTCACCTGGTACCGACTGAGGTGGCTGTTCCAGCTCTCTGCCCCCCTCCCGGGACTCAGGCATAGGGAGGGGGGTCCTGCCCAGACCCCCTGCAGTGGACTGGGGAGGAATGTCAGTTTTTACCCTAAAACCACTCTGGGAAGGACAAGATGTAGAAAACCCATGCTCCAAAGCTTCACAAGCAAGTGATTTGGAAGCAGTGCAGCACAGAGCTCTTTGTGCATGCCGTTGCCCACACAGATCATGATCCACAATCCCAGACAGCTGCTGAGCTCCCAGCAGGATTGCCTCTGCACGGTGGAACGTGTTCCCCAAGCTCACGTGGAGCTGGGGCTGGGTGAGGACCTTGGAGCGAAATTCACCATAAAACCCATGGCACCCTTCAGAGCCAAGCACTGGGCCTGAGGCTGCCGGGAGGGACTGGGCTCGGGACAACAGGCTGGAGGCCAAGGTGGAGTGAAGAAAGGCCCCTTTTCCTCCATATTTTAAAAACTCTGTGTGTTTAACCCTTGGTGCTCTTTAGCCCTACTCGCAGAAGGGTCCCTCAGGATGTGCTGCGAGCCTCGGCATGTGTACCTGAGCTCACCATGCATGAGGAGGACTTTGGTCCTGACACCCTGGAGCCGCCTTTGCTCCATCCCTCGGGCTCCAGACAAAAGTTGCCTGGTACCAACACCCCTCTCCAGCTGGCTCCTCCCTTGTTTTCCTGCCCAGCTCCATGGCTGACCTAGCCCTGAAAGGAAGACGCTGTTTACCTCATGCCCAAGATATAGCTCAGCGGTCACTGCTGTGACCTCCTCTGAGATAGTGATCCCAGCTCAGCTGGCATCCTGCCTGAGTTTTTTTGGGGATGCCACCAGGAGAAAGCAGCCTGCATGTCACTCCTGCGCTTCCCGGGGACACTGGGTGCCTTTACCTTCCATCCCGACCCAGCAAGGGCAGGGAAAGGGGCCACAATCACACGGCAAGTTGTGTCATCAGGGACTGATGCATTCAGTCTGTCCCCTGGGAAAAACAACAATATACAAGTGGGAGAAAAAAGGTATGCTGATCCTTTGGCTGCTTAAATCCTGAATTCCACGCACGGTTTGAAAAGCAGCTCAGATTGGAAGAGACTTAGCCCACATGGGGCTGTGCTGCCCGGTGATACTGAACTCCTTGGCAAAACCATGATCTTCCCATGTGATCCTGACCACCCCAGCTTCCAGCAGCATTTCTCGGACTTGGAAGCTCATGTGGGAGAGACTCCCATCTACTGTTGAGGAAAGGTTTCTGCCCTGGCACGAGGACACTTTCCATAGGCTGACAAGAAACCAGGGGAATTTTATTGAAACAAACACTGGAGAGAGCAGTACAAAAATAACTGAGCTCTGCTGGCATCAAAGTCTGTTCTCTGAAAGGTGTACAAAAATAATTTAAATATAAATATAAAAGTACCATCTTTCTAGTCACCCTCTTTTGTACACCCACCAGATTTTACGGTGCCCTTGGCCTGTGCTCACACAAGCACTTTGGGCACTGGTGGAAGCAGAGAATTGTGTTGCTCACCAACTATTTTTGAAAGGGCCATTTCACAGGAATAAATCCTAAAACTGGGCTACTTGGAGAGCAGATAACAGGTCAATGGCTGCCACACAGGTGCATCTCATTGGGGACCTGCCCCTACAAGACCTAGCTTGCTGTGGGTGACCTTCTAAATAGGGGACTTCAGTTAACTAACCAATTAGGCAAACTAAAACCAGAGCCTGAAAGCTGTGGCTTCCACCTCTGTTTTACTGGGAGGCTCTGCTTTTGCCAGTGCAGCTGGCCCTGGCTTAGGAAGCTCGGCTGTGGAGGGTCTCTGACCAACACTATTCCTTCTTGGAGAGCTGAGCAGAGAAGATCCTGGCGATTCTTTTGGCTTCCTCTTCCGAGAGCTCAGGGCTGGGCCTGGGATGATTTGCTCTTCGGTATGGGATTCCTCCAGGCAGTGCTCCACTCCTGCTCTGGGGAGAGAAGGGACCAGGTGTGAGAGCTCTTGGTTTCACATCTTGCAAACCACAGGGTTGTGCAGAGGGTGACAAGATGGATACACAGAAAAAAAAAACACCCCAGTGAGAAAGAACGATCTGAACCCTGCAACAGGGGTCTTCTGTGTGACCTCTGAACTTCTCAGTGCCAATACCCAGCCAAAGTCTCCCTGTATGAAGCCAAAGGAATGACAGTGGTGTACTCACCGGGACCTGACTGCATTTTGGCTTTCCATTATTATTTTACTTTGTAATTTCCAGAACCCTGAAGACCAAATCTCACAGGGGAGAGGCAATGCTCTGTCAACAACAAATCTTAACCCTGCTGACAGGACAAGGCAGGGAATGGGTTTAAACTAAAAGAGGAGAGATTTAGATTAGATATTGGGATAAAATTCTTCCCTGGGAGGGTGGTGAGGCCCTGGCACAGGGTGCCCAGAGCAGCTGTGTCTGCCCCTGGATCCCTGGAAGTGCCCAAGGCTAGGCTGGATGGGGCTTGGAGCAACCTGGGCTACTGGAAGCCATGGCAAGGGATGGGGCTGGATAAGCTTTAAGGTCCCTCCCAGCTCAAACCACCACTGTGAGTCCATGATAAATGGGATGGGCCAGGCTCAGTTGACTGCAGGGACCCCAGTGCAGCAGCCCATGACAGGAAAAACCCTGGTTTAATCAGTGTCATCTCCTCCTTGCTTTGCCAGCAGCCTCCCAGCAGTCTGGCTTTGTCCCTGATGTTCCAGCAGCACTAGAGGATGAGTAATTTCAGCATATGAAGAAAGACATTTCTCCCCAGCTAGTTTAGAGTGGGCTGTGCCTATGAAGCACTGACAAAAGTGATCCTGTCCCAGGAGCCTTTAAGGGAGGAAGCTGGGGGGCCTGGAAGGTCTTTTGGAAAACTGATATACCAATCTGGCCTTTCACCCACATCACTGGGCTGCTTCTCTGAGCCTCAGGAAAGGTCTCCTGAGGTGCACAGCTCCCTCACAAGAGCAACAGCACCAGGACCCTTTTTTGGTGCACTCTGAGATGCACCATTTGGAGAGGGAAATGGATTTTTTAGGAATAAGTGAGTCCTTATGTTTGGTGACCTGTGCATTACAGCTGCGGGTCTCAGATTCAGTCAAAGAGAGAAACAGAGAGTTTCTAGCCAGGCAGAAGACTGGGAAAGAGTTGGAAAAGAATGTAAATAATTCTTTATCTCTGTTGTTCACATTGTTTATAGTTAAGTTCTATCACTATGCATCAAGCACTTTGCACCAAATGGTGTGGCTTGTTTTCACTTCAGGTTCAATGGAACTGGTCCTCACAAAGCTCTGTATAAAAGAGCGGTGTATTTTGAATAAACTGGAGTTTTACTCTCACAGCCTTCTGAGTCAGAGTCTTCTCATTCCTATCCTGCCTCAACAGTGACATACAGCCTGCAGGTAAAATACTTAAAAACACTTCCCGTTCTTATTGCACTGAAACAATGGACAGAGATAATTAGGAGAATCTTTGCTTTGCTCTTCTTTCTTCTTAATAATTCTCCAGGATGAACTTCCTAAACCAAAATACACAGAGCCAAGAGAGATTAAATGCAGACCTGGCCACAGCAGAAGCTTACAAACCAGCAGAAAGAGCTGCTTGGTGGGCAAAGCACCTCCCTTGGACAGGACTGTCCAGAGACATTCTTCGCATGCTGTTTTCTGCCCAGCTGTCCAAGAAATAGCCAAAAGGTCAGAAATGGCTGGAGAGGGTCAGTGACCAGGCTCTGTGCTGATCCCTGAGTTCCGCACAGCATCTGAAAGCATCTCTCTAGGAAATTCCCCCAATCTGCTGACTTACCCTATTTCAAAGTTGCATGAAACAGCATTTCCTGCCTCCCACAGCTCCCCTTTCCTGTATGCCACATGTCCTGCACAGCCAGGGATGGAGAGCCAGCACCTCCGATTTTCAATGTAAGGAACAGAATCCCAGAATGGTTTGGGTGGGAAAGGACCTTAGAGCCCATCCAGTGCCACCCCTGCCATGGGCAGGGACACATTCCAGTATCCTAGGTTGCTCTAAGCCCTGTCCAACCTGGCCTTGGGCACTTCCAGGGATCCAGAGACAGCCACAGCTTCTCTGGGCACCCTGTGCCAGGGCCTCTCCACCCTCACAGTCAATAATTCCTTCCTAACATCTAATACCCCTAGAATGCTCTGTTCTCCAAAGCCACAACACAAGAGCAGGTGCCTGATGCTGTTTATGTCACCAAGGTGAAGGAGAGCTGTTTGCTCCCACAGCCAGGAAACCAGGTGTGCTTGTAAAACACACCACTGGCATGCTGTTTCAGAGATCAGCAGCTAAAATACACCTCCTCCCATCTTCCTACCATTGCCCAATGTGCAGGATGAAGTGGTGTTAAGATGTGTGTATTTATCCTAACCACCTTCCTAAAGATGAACCTCCAGCTGTGGGGAAGGTTTTACATCAGTTCTTGCTGCTGTTTTACACGTACAGGTGTGACTCAAAATTAGTGAGGTTTAAAAGCACCATTAACACTCCCAGCTCAGACAGATGACCAGAATCACAGAATCATGGAAATACTGAGGTTGGAGAAGACACATAAATCATGGAGCTGTTTCCTCAGCACTGTCAAGGCCACCACTATCCCAAGTGCCACAAGTCCTCAGATGCCCCATCCACACAGCTTTAAACCCCTCCAGGGATGGGGACTCACTGCTGCCCTGGACAACCTTCTGGGGGAAGAATTTCTCCCTAATATCTAACCTAAATCTTCCCTGGTTGAACAGCTTGACTGTCCCCATTCCCTGGGAGCAGAGCCTGACCCCCCTGGCTGTGCCCTCCTGTCAGGGAGTTGTGCAGAGCCACAGGGTTCCTCCTGAGCCTCATTTTCTCCAGGCTGAGCCCCTTTCCAGCTCCCTCAGCCTCTCCTGGTGCTCCAGACCCTTCCCCAGCCCCCTTGCTCTTTTTTGGTCATCAAACCTTCCTTTGATCCATCTCACAGGCAGTTTCTGACTGCCAGTTTGATCCTCCTGCATAGTTTCCAGAGCACACAACTGAAGTGTCATGTTTACATCACTCCTCACCCCAGAACAGGCTCAGGGCAGAGCCCATTCCAGGTTTCTCCCTCTCTGTCTCCCAGGCTCCAAGTGTCTGGTGCTCAGCCAGGAAGCACACGTGTTCCATGGGGAAGATGCAAGAGGAAAGGGGACTCGTGCACCGAGGATCACGCTGCACTCTTCTTTTAACAGGAATGGCAGCGACACTGAAACCAGCCAAGGATTACTCAGTGCCTGCATGCCAGGGGCTGGACTACAGCAGATTCATGTTATAGCTCATGGTGAGGGGCATGGCCTCTTCCAAGGTCAAAGAATTACAGCCTTGGAGGCAGAGGATGTTCCAGCACTGTGGCTCAGCAGGTTTGCCAGCAGTTTTGTTTGTGCACAGGGATGGAGGTGAACAGATCTGTGTTAACAGGCTACAACCTACCCTGGCAGTGGCCCTGCACCTGCTCCTGCTTTCCAGGCAGGAAAGCAGGAAGATCCAGCAGATCAGGAAGGAACAACACAACCAAGTAAGGATGTTTTGGTACTTGTCGCCTTTGGCATTTTTGGAACATACAGTGCCTGTTGTTGTGAATCTGCTGTTACTTCTAACTTACACTGAAGCTAAGTCTATGTATACACAAATATGAATTATTCTGAGTAAAACTGGTTTCCATGCAAGTTTCTTATCCTGTTGGAATATTCCTAGAGGTGAGGGGAAAAAAAGATCACTGCATTTGGAGAGAGACTTCAGCCAAGGGCCTGGGGTGCCAGAACAAGGGGGAATGGCTTCCCACTGCCAGAGGGCAGGGTTTGATGGGATATTGGGAAGAAATTCTTCCCCATGAGGGAGGAGAGGCCCTGGAACAGGGTGCCCAGAGAAGCTGTGGCTGCCCCTGGATCCCTGGAAGTGTTCAAGGCCAGGCTGGACAGGGCTTAGAGCAACCTGGGATGGTGGAGGGTGTCCCTGCCCATGGCAGGGGGTGGAGCAAAAGGATCTTTGAGGTTCTTTACCACCCAAACCATTCTGGGATTCCGGCATTTTATGGAAAAGCTTATTAAAACTCTGACTTTTCAAACCTTTCTTCTAACCCCCACTCAGAGCAGGTGAGCAGTGTGG